AACACTACATAGTTTAGGAAAAGATTCTTGGACTGTGTTAGTAGATTAAAAAAATAATTTGTTCCTATGTAAGACTGAAACAAATAGTTCTGCTGTTGTATAAAATATTTTCAGTTTTGGCAAACTGAAGGAAAGTCTTTGTGGCCCATTTCTGTTGCAAACTACATGTGTGCTTGATGATGTGCATACAAACAGGGACTAAATAGCATAGTCATAAACAGCTAGCCTACTGTAAAATAATTACCCACAACGTAATGTGTGGGGATTTCTTTAGAGCCCTCATAAATACTCAGTCCTATAAAAACTAGTGAGAGTTTTAAGAACCCATTAACATATATGGTAAAATCTGTGGAATTAATATATTTGGAAACTGAAGATGCTTGGTATTTTTCCCCTAACAGATGAAAATTTTCCCCAGTTTTATATATAGGTTGGTTTAAAATAAAATCCCATTCAATTGGTTTACATACACACATTTTTTTATGCCAGTTTTGTTTTCTAAAGTTAAGGCTGCTTTGCTCTTGGAACCATTTCATAGCAGAGAAGACGTCACACAGGCAAAGTAAGTGAGCAGCTAAAGTACATCTTGTCAACACAGTAGCTCTGTTGGAATTTTACGCATTTCCATAGTGGGAGTTGAAGAGCCTGTTTATGGAAATACAGGAAAATAGAGGAATTATATGTATGTTTAAATGTATAACAGATATAACTTTCTGTGTGTATGCACATACACATCTGTTTCAGGTTTTTATGAACCTTAAGTGATGACTCTTGCTGAATCCTGGGGAGATGATCCGGTGTGACAGGAATGTCAAAATCACTGGATACACCCTTTCCAGCAATAGGCAGAAATGGAGGCTAACAGCTGCTTTATACTGATAGTGTTACTGCCACCATCAGTAAAACATGCTTTAATTCCTAGATAATAAGTAAAGTGACTTTTTAAAAAGAAAATATTAAAACTTCTTCCAAGCTGTACTGTATTCTGGCAGATGAAAGGGAATTTACTGCAGATCTGTTCTGTGATGGTTGCCTCAGTAGTAATTATTATCCTTGCTGTGTGCTCATGAAATGCAATCTTAATGGGCTGTGTTTCCTAAATATAAAATAAAAAAAAACCCCAACAACTTGGGAGCAGAATTTATTGGGAGAAAATGTTGGTGCATGAAGGCAAATAACATTTCAGTGACAGTTCCTTACTAATGCTTTATTAAATGTCCATAAAATGATACAACCCTAGTGTCATACTGTAATCATAAAAGTCTTTAAAAACAGCTGATTCCCTTGCTGCTATCACATAAAAATACAAGCTGTGATAATGGAGGATGAAGGTATCAGTAGAAAATGACTGTTAGGATTAACAACAAAAAGAAAGAATGGAAAGTCTGAAGGAAACTGACTCCTGGAATAGTATAATATTTGCCTGAACAATTAATAATAATTTTTAATGAATCTTCAAAGATCTGAGCATCAAGTAAAATGGAATTCTTTGATTGAATCATAGAATAGTTTGGGTTGGAAGGGAACTTTATGGGTCATCTAGTCCAACCCGCTGACATCTTCAACTTGATCAGGTTGCTCAGAGCCCCATCTAACCTGGCCTTGAAGGTTGCCAGGGATGGGACATCTGCCACCTCTCTGGGCAATCTGTTTCTGTGTTTCACCACCCTCATTGTAAAAAAATGTCCTCCTTCTATCTAGTCTAAATCTACCCTCTTTTATTCTAAAACCATTACCTCTTGTACCACAACAGGACTAAAAACTCTCTCCTCATCTTTCTTATAGGCCCTCCTTTAGGTACTGAAAAGTACTGTAAGGTCTCGCTGGAGCCTTCTTTTCCAGGCTGAGCAACCTCAACTCTTTCTGTCGTTCCTCACAGGAGAAGTGCTCCAGCCCTCTGATCATCTTCATGGCCTCCTCTGGCCCTGCTCCAATAGGTCAATGTCCTTCCTGTGCTGAGGACCCCAGAGCTGGACACAGCACTCCAGGTGGGGTCTCACAAGAGCAGAGCAGAGGCAGAATCAACTCCCTCAACCTGCTGGCCACACTGCTTTGGTTGCAGCCCAGCATACAATTGGCTTTCTGGGCTGCAAGCACATATTCACGGATCACGTCCAGCTTTTCACCCATCAGCACCACAGAGTCCTTCCTGGCAGGGCTGCTTTCACTCTGTTCATCCTCCAGCCTGTGCAGATAGTGAGTCTGCCTCAAACGAGGTGCAGCATCTTGTACTTGGCCTTGTTGAACCCCATGAGGTTCCCAGGTGCCAACTGGATTGCTTGTCCAGGTCCCTCTGGATGGCAACCTGTCCCTTGGGCATGTCAACCACATCACACAGTTTGGTGTTGTCCTTGAACTTGCTGAAGGTGCACTTGATCCCACTGTCTGTGTCACTGATGAAGATATAAAGCAATACTGGCCCCAGTACAGACCCCTGTGGGACATCACTTGTCACCAACTGCAATATGGACACTGAGCCACTGACCATCACCCTCTGGATGTGACCACCTAGCCAACTCCTCATCCAGCAAACAGTCCACTCATCAAATCCATCTCTCTCCAATTTAGAGAGAATATTGTCATGGAGTACCATTTCAAAGGCCTTGAAGAAATCCAAACAGATAGCTTTTCCCTTGTCCACTAAAGTAGTCACCCCATCATAGAAGGAGGCCACCAGGTTGGTCAGGCAAGACTTGTCCAAGGTGAAGCCGTGCTGATTGTCCAAAATCCCCTCCCTGCCCTCCACGTGCCTTAGCAGAGCTTCTAGGAGGATCTGTTCCATGATCTTCCCAGGCACAGAGGGCCTTCACCTCACTGCCATGACTTTTCAAATAACAAGGAGGATTGCTGTTCCTGCATCACCAAACATAACATGCCTTAGTAAGCTGGACTTGCTTTAAGGGCTCACACCTTGAGTTGTACTTCATTCACTAAGGACACTGAGTTTGTTTCACTTCTCCTTACCCCTAACCAAACTACTGGATCCCAGTTACCTAGAACCACACAGTTATAGGGATAAGGGCTGGAAGAATAACTGCAAAATGCACCTGTAGACACTTCATCCCTAAAAAACCACAGTACAGCAACCAACTTATTTCTCTCTCTTCTTACTGTGATTAACTAAGTATGAACCATTCATCAATGGCGACTGCAAATCTCTTTAAAGGCTTAGCTGAAATGGAGTTCAGAACAGCAATATAAAGCTAAATTCAGCAAATATACACCTACTCTGGAGGCTTCAGAGGAAAACTTCCAGTAATTATACTGCCAAAGTCTCACAAGGTGACATTTGGAATGGGTGTGTTTTACATGCAGGCTACTGATGTAGTGGTAGCATCCTGCAGTGGTTCCCTGCCTTGCTTCCTGCTCTGCCTTTCTTTTGCTCCCCTGGGTATCATCCTTTCTTCCTTCCCTCTCACAGCTCTTTCCTCGAACTGGCACTCTGGCTGCCAAGGGGACTTTGGCCCTGGAGGAAGCAGAGGAAGTCCCAGATGAGACACGTGGCTAGAGAAATACTGGAGAAGATGGTGATACTGGGATGATAAAGATGTAGAGTTAAGGCCACGGTACTGATGGTGGGGCTGTAACGCCACAGTAGTGTGAATTAGCAAGGAAGGACTTGTCATCCAACCTTTATCATTGGGTTACATAGTGTAACCCCATTCAGGTGACAGGCAGTCTCTGCATCCCTGCGTGCTAGAGGAAGAGCAGAAAGCATGGAAGTATACGCCAGTGCTAGGGAAGAAGAGCTTAAGCACCAAGTCAAGCCATGGTCCTTTTAGGGAAGGGCAAAAGAAAAATAAAGGCTTGACATTGATGTTTTTTCCTCTGCTGAAGGGAGGGAGACTGGGAAGAAGATAAGATGGTAAATACAGTTGCTGACAGAAGCCCAGGCAGAAGACACACATTAGGTTTCCTCTTGATCCACTTTTGTCTTAGGTTCCAGGTCTTCATTGACAAGTGCCCTAATTTCCATCTTCACTGATGAGCCTGGCACACAGCATGAAGATACTGGGGTCTGATGGGGCAGGGAGCAATCAAAGCCGCAAGCTGGGGTAAGGGCAAGGTCTCAGGTCCTTTGATGAGGGAAACCTTGTCTACCTTCTGAGCAGGAAACCTGCTGTGGGGAGTACAGGGCCTGTGGTGTGGAGTGGGATCATGGGGCCCAGGAATGGGCCTCCCACTCGGCTTCCTCACAGGGTACAGTGATAACACAGTGCAAATAGTGCATGCTGCAATTATCACCTCACACTGGGACGGGGCACCAGACCAGTGTCTGCCTATTGCAAAAAAAGACAGGTGTTGAGGTCCTGTTTCCCTGGGCTGCGACAGGTAGGTGCCAGTAGCCATGACAGAACAAAGAGAATTGACTCCCAGCCAGCTCTGCTCTGTGGCTGATGCCACCTGACCCAACATGCCTGCAGCTCTTGCCTCCATCCCATCTCCACCCAGCCCTGCCGAGCAGCTGCTCCATCTCCCTCTGATGTGGCAGCCAGCAGCCCTTCCCCACCTGGAGTTGCTTCCAGCCTCCATCAGAAACCAGCTCCTTGTTCCCGCGAGCAGGCCCAGACCCGAGTCACAACCACTTTCACTTTTCCTGCAGGGATTTCCACCAGCCCCTCATGAAACCAACAAGAACAACACACAGGTGACAGCATGGCAGAGGTCCCTGGTCTGCTCTGTTAGAGAGTCAAGAATGTGTAAAGGAAAAAAACCGACACTTACCTTCAGAGCTCAAATGTTTTGTCATGACCAAATCAGTTGCCCTAAACAGCCTATGCAAAACAGTAACTTGCACTGTAATAACCTGCAATCACTCTGCTGGAAAATCCTGAAGATTCCCTGGTGAAATTTCCTGAAATCTCCGATAGCTATTGCACAACCCCGGAAAACATTCTTAATTTCATATTTGCTTCTTCCAGCAGGGAGATACATCACATGATGCTGGTAGTGCCTACGACTGACTATCAAAGGCAAGAGATGAATTCCAAAAGGAAACATTTCTGCCAGAATATGTATTTAATCCAACAAGATTAAATCAACAAGGTTATCCAGAGGTTGGAGGCTGAGACTTGGCAGATGTCAGAATTAAAATACATGCATTTGAAAGAAGTGCTACCAAGTAACTTGGTGTGGTGGCACCACTTCTCATGTGGCAAATCCTCCACTATGGCTACCTAGTTTAAGCCTGTATGTCTAAATTTAGAGCTGAAAAACAGGAAAAAGGGCTGAGGAAGGGCTAGCATAGTTTCTTGCTGGTGTTACATGTTATACTTGAATATAGTTATTTTCTTTAAGAACAGGACAATTTGATGTTTAGCCTACTTTATGACATGAAGCTTTGGAGAACATTCCACCACAAACTGCCCTGTTTAATTTCTCCTTAATTTGGAGACATTTCATTTAATTAGAAATGTCACAGAGATGTGCAACAGTGATCAGCATTCTGAAACTTCTAGCAGGATGCCATCATATTTTTTTAAGTTTAAAGTCCCTTTTCAGAAAAGCTGTATATAAAATACATGCTGCTGAGAGTATAAATCAGTAGATTTGGTGCCAACTTTCACTCCAAGGCAGGAATTCTTTGAGGCAGATGTGAACAACACACCCACACCCTTGACCACCGTCTATTTCTTAATTTACATGGCTTCAACTAATACTTTCTCAAGCTTAGCTTTCTACTCTTGCCCTATCATTTTCATTCAATCAAATGTTTCCAGCTGCTCGCTCTGACCCTGGCTGAAACTGTATCTTTATTTATGCCTGGTCCTTTTCTGCCCTGTTCATCACTAAAATCCTTATGATGCAGATCACTAGAGGTGACCTTTGGCTCTTTTTTTTGGTCTCGTCTACCTGTTGGCTATTTTCTCTCGCATTTTAAGACTCCATTTCTCAAACCATGGACAATTTAATTTTCTAGGTATTTATGAAAACCAGCAGGATCATATTTTTCTTTTCTTTTGGTGGTTTATTTGTTTTTGTTTGTTTGTTTTTTTGGTTTTGGTTTTTTGTTTGTTTTTTGAAGTTGGGGACAGCCTTGTAAAGTAAAATTCTGCGTGGGTATCTACAGTTTCCCAACATGATTATTTTACATCCAGCTGAAGTCTCCATTTCCACCTCTTAAAATTCACACACACACTTCAGCTGTAAGGATTTTTCTTTTTCCTTTGTGACGTTACTGTTTCCTACTCAAATCCTTCTGTCATAGTTATTCTTTTCGTGTCAAGGAGTAATCTTTTATCTGCTTATGCAGTGAGGTCCCTTTACGATGGTTGTGGTAATACAGATGTGAAAAGATGGTTAGCTTTGGTACGATTTTATATCTCATCCACAACTGTGAAGTATCCCTACTCACCCTTTACTCACCAATCCATAAAACAGCCACCTAGTACACACAGTAAACCCACTGCACTTTTCATACTCACAAGTTACTTTGTTTTTCCATTGGCACTGTCTGAAGGAGAAATTAATTCCCATGCCAACACCTTGGATATAGCCTTTGATAGGGGCTTCTTGCTAACCGTGTGAAGACTTTATGAACGTCTGCAGTTAGATCTCAGTATATTGCTGCTTAAACCCTCCCTTTTGAATTGATACTACCTCAACAGCTCATCCATCAGAAAAGACTACTATAGAAAGTTCTCTTCTCCCAGACAGCCTGGGATGTTTTTTTAAATTAAAATCTCATTTCATGACAATCTATTCAATACAAGTGATTGTATTGGCAGTGCTTTGCACTGAAGCAGTTTTACTGAAAAGATCCTTTATTTTTTCATAAATAAAAAAGAATATATTTTAAACTTTTTTCACACATGAACGTAAAAACTCTGAAAGCCTTCAGAAATTAAAATTAACTATACAAAAATTGGGCTATCAATGTTAAATACTTAAACTTTTGTTACCACTAACTAATTTGTATCTTCTATTGGTATAAAAATCTTCATAGTAATGGGTAATACAACATAAGAATTTCCTTTAACTGAATGTATTCACATTTTCAATATATAGTTTTTCCAAGCAGGTCATATCAGTCTATGCCTTTCTTTTTCGTGTAGTTCCATTAAGTTCTGAAGGGGCCATTTGCAGCACTTGCTGTTGCTGCTGCTGCTGCTGCTTTGTGGGACAGGAGAACCATTCTTCTGAGCTAAACAAAAATAAAAGCACAGTTGCTTATAAACAAAGCTTTTCTCTTACATATATATATATGTAATACATATATATAACACAGAGCTCCCCTTAGTATAAATAACATAAACCCCAAATCTGTGCACAGCTTATTATTTAATTATTTTGTTAAAATGAAGAATAGCACCAGGCTAATATTAGATACTTTAAATACATAACCATTTCAGTTCTATATGTAGATAAAAATTAAAATAGTAACCAATACAAATAATAAAGAGACATAGTAATATAGTGAACACTTGTTCAGAGATTCACAGAACACAACTGGATAAGATTTAAATAATCTTAAAAATACGACCGTAGTTCAGCAAAGAATGATGTAGCCATGAGGATGGACATGAGAAATGGAAAAGTCAGTTCCATGTCACTTTAAAGATACAGACATACAGATTTCCCAGATTTTGTGTGTGTGTGTGTGTTCAAATGCTCCTTAGCCACAGAGGGAATGCAGAAGAAGATACACAGGTAAAGAGAGAACTGTGTTAAATACTTTACTGCCAGTTCAGCTCAGATAGTTACTTAGAAAAAGCTGTGTAAGTATGATTCTTTATTCTGTAAAAACAATTTTTTCTCTGTTTATCTTTCCAGTATTTGAAATCAAACCTGAAAAGAGTTTATAGACCAAGCCATCTCAAATATTTCTGGGGTGTAACAGAGTTGAATATACCAGAAAACACAGAGAATGTGAATGCTAGAAGATGCCAATCAGTCAGTTCATAAAGAGAAACAGAACTAGAATCATTAAGCAAATCTTTATATTAAGCTTAAATAGCAGCAGAAATTAAAAAAAATGTATTGAAAATCAGTTTTATGCAAACTCTACTAATTGTTGGTTACTGCATACAAATATGAATTAAAAATATGCAAAATAAACTAGTTTTTGTTTTGAATTCAGGATATGAGAAAATAATGACTAGATTCAGAACAGACTTACCTATACAATTTTTTCACTGTTTCTCTTCGCATTCTTTTGGGAGGTATAGGAGTGTCAGACATATCTAACATTATAGGCTGAAGTAATGACTCAGCGCCTTTATCTGATAAAGCAGGAGTCATACCTATGAAAGAGTTGCAAATCAGAACAACAACAAAAAAAAATTAAACCCGCTGGTTATAAATGGGCCCTCTAACAGATAGAGTTAAACCTCTGAAGTAAGGTTTTAGATATGCCATAAATTTTATGGTTACCTTATGTCTCAAACCAAGTTCAAAGGTGACAGATAAAACTATCTGCTTTACTTATAACAGTCACAGAGTAAATGTTGATTTTTTAAATATATTTTGAAATATTGTAAATTATTTGATATTTACATAAAACCCACTTCTAACTCAGAAATACTATCCTTGCAGACTTAGGGGTGTTTCTTTTTATAGCACAATGTTTTGATTGTGTTTCCTTAGCAAAAGCCATTCAGCCAGCCACACAAATAGTTATATAATCTCTTATTAGTGAGATCATAGTTTCATGTTCACAAGACACTGACTGACCACATTGTTATTATCTGAACACAATACAGGACAGTGCTGCTCTAGGCACTATCTACACCATCATAGTACTACATACAGTTTTTCTGTTCTTTCCTTAAAGTGTGACATCTCTAAGCTCTTAATGTTAACAATTTTCCTTCATAGTTTGTACTTCTTAGTTTGCAAGAGCAGAATACATCTGGTTTCAGTTAAGTCTCCTTTAGGACACCAAAATTATAATACAATAACCTACCCAATTTCTGTTTTACTAGCTTGAGGCTTTTCTCTTGTTCAGCAAGTTCCTGTTTTTTCTTTTGCATTTCTGGCGTGTTCAGAGACTGCAAATGTAAATCAAGGTCCTTATTCACATTATCGAGTTTAACCACTGCTGCACGGTATTGCTGAAGAAGATCTAATGGAAGAATAAAATAATAAACCACAAAACAATAAATATGTGGCCATTTTGATTTAGAACGCTAACAAATACAATTCAGACAATGTATAAATCCACAAGAAAACATATATTTCTAAAGCACTACTTAAAAAACACACGAACTTATAATGGATTGGTAGCTGTTATTAAAATGACTGTAACGGGAGGCAAAAAATTACATCCAATATTTTGATTCCTCTTTTCTTTTTGAGCCCATATCTTATTTCACAGTACCAGCAAACTCTGAAAATTATGTGGGAAACTGGTATTACTTTACACATCTTGTCCCTTGTGTCTCCAAACAAATTCTCTACCTTTGATGACACTAAATGCTTGTAGTATGCTTTGCTTTGAGCACTACAAAGCAGAAGCTTGTATTGCTGACTTGAATTGTATTCCACCTTGTGGACCAAGAGAACATTTATCGAGTTTCACTTTGTCCTACCTACGGAAATCTAATCAAGTAGACTCAGAAAAACAAGGGTGTAGTTTGTTGACAAACCTTTTTCCTCTTTTAACATATGAAAAAAGAATTTTTCCTTGCCCAGGCACTGAATAGATCAAGTAATAAAGGAAGGGTTCAAGCATGTCAGCCCAGGCTCATTCCTTTTACTTTGGTGAGTGTTAGGTGGCTTGCACCAAGCTTAACTGAACACTAAGTACCTACTTTCCTTTTATGCTACAAATGTTGAAAAAGAGCATGTCAAAACTAATGCTAAGAGTGAAATTCAGTTCAAGACAAGTCCTGTGTAATGAGATGGATGCTGTCCTTTAAACAGAATTTTACTATGATTTTCCTTTAAATGTCTAGCATCACTCCAAGTGAAATTAAAACATGCCTTTTTCTTTTACCATGATTACATGATTACAGAAAATGCCAGTTTAATTTATATGGTAATAATTCAGTTCAACAATTGAAAATGTGTTGATAGACAAACATAAAGTGTCTTAAATGCATCAAATTTTAGCCTGTGGCTGACATGCTTACTATGTTTACCCTATATATAATAAATTTTTTACTGAAATGCCAGTAAAGATCCCTTTAGTCCTTATTTTTTTCCTCCTTCAATTGGTTAATGTTAAGTAGTTTGTTCATATATAAGGCTACTCCAGTAGGTGCATGTGTTCTCTCTCATTCTCCCCCCAGTCCTCTCCATTGCACATTTCTAGGAATACTCTCCTGGATAAACTTCATGTCCTTTCTTTTGAAAACAAAGTATTTCATAGCATTATTATTTGTGAACAAGACTTTTCAATGTTTTACCAATCAGTCAGGTCAGCTGTTACATGACAGAAACTGCCACCTTCAAACTTAATTTATAACCTTTATTCCCAAATGAAGATTCCAAGCACATAATGAAATGGAAGTGACCTCATAAGAAATAAAAGGTACCTTCTTGCTATGGTAATAATGCAGCTGTTGTGCTTATGAAATATCCTCTCTTACAAAAACAGGAATTTTTCTACCACTGCTTCATAGAGCTTACTTGCACAGTAAGAAATTCTAAATTGATGTATGGTGTTTCCAGAGTAGAAAGACCTGAAACTTGTTTTTCAAGGATGCTAGAATTCAGTCAGCTCAAGCTTCTCATGCCTGTTGTTTGAATTAACTACCACAGCTTATAGTCCCTAAATAAGACTAAGAAAAAGAGGGAAATATCTCATTACTATTATTTTTTCTTCTTTCAGGAAATTTAATAGCTATAAGCTTTTAAGAAAAGAGAAATTCATAAACAGGACATTGTACAGGTCCTATTTCTTAAAATAACTTTATGCTTAAGTGAAGTTTTCCTTTCTGTATTACTTAAGAGAATAACAAACATAGGCAAACAATATAATTTTGGAAGTTTTGTATTTTTATGACTTCATTAACCCACCTATCTGTCCAGAGAAAGTAGAATAAAGTTTTGGCATTGGTGCTCCAAATACCATTCCTCTGAGTTTGTCCATTGGAGGAGCTTTATTCTGCAGGCCTCCAAATTTTCCATTGCTGCGAATCCTGTCACCCTCCCTCGTCAGCAAGGTAGGGCAATGTGTAATTTTTACAACCTACACAAGTATAAAAAAGATACTAAATTAGTAACTCCATGAAAAAAATCTAAGGTTTCAACAATGCTGCTGTGAAGCTTATTTTTCAACTGCAATGCAGCTTGCTCTCTAATCGAAACCTGTTTTATGAAATTACACGTCATGACTTTTGCTTTCAAGCAACAGAATGCATATATTAAAATTAAGCAGCACTGTCAATAATTATGAAGGCTAAATTTTTTTGGGGTTGTGTTCTCAGTTTTTAGCAGAACTCAGAAGGCAGAATTTAAATTTATACTGTGGAAAAAGCTTATTATCAACATATACTATGAAGCAACCGCCATCAGTACAGTTCTACATTCTTATGTAGAATCATTATTTCAATTGTAGCAAACTCATGAGCTGAAATGGAAAGTGTACCATTAAACCTAAATAAAATGGGTCACGAAGAGATCCAGTAAGTTTCACATCAAGTTTTAAGTCAAGTGGACCTGAAATTTCATCAAGTGCCTTAGACTCCTGTGTTTTATTATACATGTAGTGACTAGGAAAGTACTGAAGGACTTGCATTTAACACTAACAGCAAAAGTGAAAATGTTTATCTTTAAAAACGTGGTGCCATGTGTCAATGGCAACATTCCCATAACAGAATTTGTTAAAAGGAGGTAATTTTGTCAGTGTCAATTATAGAGATTTCATTCATGTTAAGTGCTTTGAGACCCCACAGACAGCAAGCACACTTCCCGCTAACAACAGCATTAAACTTGGAAATTATACTAAGTTTGTAATGTATTAAATATGTAGCTATGCAGTATATCTGTATTATAAAATATCAAGAATAACTGAAACCTACCTCTTTTCTGTAATGGTTGGCAGCATCCAAGTTATCTATAATGATAGTGTCACCCAAGAGCATACCAAACACTGAAAAATGTAATTTTTTGAACCATGAAATTTCTCTGCAACAAAATAACTCGAGTTTTGAAAAGTCAATTCTGAGGCATCATTATTACATCTTTTCAGATAAGTGCAAGGGAAATAGCATGTAAATGATTTTTTTTCAATGAAATTTTATTCTGAGCTTAAGATAGATATGTAATCTTCTGCTTTCATCAAAGAATTCATAAAGAAAAAAAATTAGTATGTTTAATTGCCTTTTGGCATAATTGACTGTATTTTCCACTAAAGTACTCTCTTGATATCTTTATGAAGACACACATAATATAATCCCAAATTTCAGTAAATTATATAAATTATCATCTTTTTCAAGTCCTCCTGGAATGATGAATTTTTTTCACAGTTTCTTAATATGTTTCTCAGTATTCAATGGACCATCAAAGAAAAAAAACATTCACAGGCTGATAATCCAACTGAGTTTATTCTGCTTACTCTGTTCCATACAAAGTCTAACAAGGTAGTCCTGCATGAGATATGTCAAGCAATGTGGTTTTAAATTCCCCCAAGAGACCATCTAACTTTCTGAAAATGCACAAGACTAAAAATTGTTTTTTATTAAGAGTAGAGAGGAATATTTCAATAGTGGGAATTAGTGAAGTCAAATAAAAAACTTATTGACCTAATTACAGATTCCAACTCTCCATATAAAGGAGCAGGTCTACTTAATTTAGGAAAAAAAAGTGTTAGAAAAGGTAGGTATTCTATGTTGTTAGAATTGAAATTTACATAAAAACTGAAAGCTTATTCTTACAACTATTAAAGCATAACATACACAGTCATGTTCAGTCTGCATGTACATAGATCTAAGCATTACTTTTGAGAGGAATAGGACTGGATAAACAGCCTAACAAAAAGAGTAACTTCTGCAATTGGAAATATCAAACTAATCTCATGATTGTCATTTTCTGCTTACAGGAGCTTGGGAATAAGATAATGCTGAAGTAACTTAAAAAAGAAAACAACTCTATAGTACATCTAAATAGAGAAAATGAAAATAAGACAACAAGTAGAAGACAGTGGTCATGGCTGAAATTTTCCAAACTGCTGTTTACAAATAATTAATGCTAATGTCCTCCTCTTTTTACCAGTAGACCTCACCAGGAATGTACACTGGTATTTGCAAACATCTCAATGAAGATTACTGAATGGATTATCATTTGTGATGTTTCTGTATTTAATTTTTTAAAACAAAAGAAGTTATTAACAATTCCTTTCATATCATTTACCTGTTTGACAATGTTCTACGTTATCTGGAAATGTTAACAGATCTCTGGCAAATACAGGATTTCCAATAGGTTTGAAGAAGGTTTTTCCATTTCTTAGGTGAGGTAAAGGTCTGGTTAAAGAAAGAGAAGAGTGAAGGAGAAGACAAGAAAAAAGCAATTTGTCCTTATTTCATTACTGCTTCTGACATCGAGTCAGAAATCTCAAACTGAATTGAATGCATCTTAATGCTTCCACATGAGGTGGTAAAATGATCCCAACATGATCTTAAATGTCAGTTATATTAAAGATGTTTTGGTCAAACACTGATTTTTAATGAAATATTATTTCCAGCAAATTCATATGACTAATTTTACGGACAAGTTTTAACGCACCATGTTATAAAAACTGAGATTTTGGACCCTACAAATAAATCTGTACATCAGATCTTTTCTAAAGGGTATTCTTCATATTAGCAGTCATTGTCATAAACAAAGGAATAGAAATACAGTATTATCCTTTATCTTTCAGGCAACTGAAATAGCAGCATGAATTTCTATTACTACAAATGATTTTAGGGAATGTACCCTGAAATAGGATTTTGAAAAGTTATTATTTGATTTGAAGCACTAGAATTATTTAAAAATAAGTTCCTGCTTGAGAAAACAGGTAGAAGTGAAGAAAAAAAGGTAGATTGTCTTCTCTTTTTAATAGAAACACCTTATTAGACAAAGAACATCACACAACAGTTAAAGACATAAAGCTACGATTTCAGCTAACATTTCAAGTTACATTACTGTTGCTATAGTAGTGAACCCAGAAATTTTATACATTGAATATTTAATAGGAGTAAAGTTTAAAAAACAAATTAGACAAAAAATTATTTTTTTTTTCTCTACCTGTTCCAGTCTGGGAGTGTCTTCTTGTAAATAGAATCAAGGGGTAACACTTGTTGTCGACCTTGAGTTTCATCAAAAATAGAACGAGCAGCTTCAGTCGTCAGTGTGACCACACAGTCCATGTCACTCGCCAAATGCCAAGAGATAACTTTTGCTGCTTCGTTATCCTCGATTTGAGCTAAATGTGCAATCTATACCACAGAAGTTAAAATAGTCAAAACAGAAATCAAGATCACCTCTCCTTTTCATGCTAAGCATAACAATCCTGCAACTTCAATCACACATTTAATTCCCCTGTTGATGGCTGTTAGAAGAGCTGGTCATCTGATTTGAGATAGCTATCTTTTTTCAAATACTCCTCAAAAACTACTTGCATATTCAGTTGGCTAATTTTTCATCACTACTGCTTCATGGAAACAACAAAACGCATTAGAAGGCTCCCTGAGAGAAAACTCACCTTGCCTAGAATATCTGGGTTGCCTTTTGGATAGTTTGGGAGGGTACAAGTTCTCCTTGGCTGCTTCATTACTCCTTCTTGATCCATCTTTTTTTTTTTTAGAAGTGAATCCACATACTGAATCTGAGAACGTAAGTTTAAAATCAGCAAGCATGTATCATTGGACTGAGCAGCAGCAGTAGTTACTTTACCTCAATTAAGTTTCTAATAAAAAACATTCAATAATCTGAAACAGACTTTTAATATATAGGGGACCCACTCTACATAATCTCAGAGAAGAGGGAAGGCATCTTGCTGAACTTTTTAATTACTCCTTTTATTCTTCTTTTTAATTTTTGAAGACTTCAAGGAGCATTTCACAAAGAGCTAACAGCGCTGGATTAGGGCCAAAACTGAAGAAAGTTTAAAACAGTAGAAGAGACACCCATGAATGTACAAAACCAAACCATTTCAGAAGGGGACTATGTCCAAGTCTGAAAAATTTAGCCAGCAGGAGGAACTTGGGTACCAAGATTGCAATTTAATTCTACTGATTTGTGATTAATAACTGTAACCTGGTTTTATTTGATCTAAAGATACTTGTTTACACAGGTGGGGTTTCTTTCTTTCAAAAGAAAAGAAAACCTTTTTTTAAAACTTCTTTAAAATATAATTGGATCTTTATGGGAAATTAGCAATGGGCTACATTGCCCTGAATCTTTCAAACTTATTTTTACATCAACTTTGGCAGTAACATACACAACTCTCTAATTTTCTGAAGTGTTTTCCCTTGGTCTACTTATGCCAGAATATATCCAGTGTATATTGATCAGCCTGCAATAATGCATTATAAAAACTAGCAATACCAATAACAGCAGTAACCTTAGCAGCAATGCAAAAACAAGACCAAGATATAAAAAGACCAAGACATTTCTCTTGCAGTTTTTTTAGAGATATTCACATTAACAGAAAAAAAAAAAAATCTTAAGTTTGACACTGATCCACAAATTTTCCTATGGTTTAAATTTTCATGATTTTGGAAACATGTGTGATTCAACAATGTTATATATTGATATCAGTTTCATATTAGGATTAGATTTATTTGAAAGATGTTAGTGGAGTTTAGTAAGAAGTACGCCTTACTATGTTTGTCTGTGGTAATTCAATTTGGTGCTTTTTCAGTTCGTTCTTCAAGAAAGTTTCTCTAGTTTCAGCTTCTTTAACCTGACCTGAAATCAATAAAATCAAAAGAGAGTAAGGAAATATTAGAAAGCAATAGGACACTTTTCAAAATTACGCCTGCCACAGTTGATCCTATTTGCCTCTTAATTTTAGCCCAGAATATCAGGATCTGTCCACAAAGATCTTGTGATTTGTGCATTTTCTAAGCAATTTCACCACATGTCACTCCTTCAGCTTCAAGAAGCAAAGGAGCCTAGATCTCAGATCAATCTGAGAATGTAAGCTGTTTTTAGTTTTCATCCTCAATTATCCTTCTAAATGGTTCTCCAACAGGTAAAATGGCAAGACAGAAGAGAAGAGTGCTAGCTGGCACTAATCTCTTTTTTCTGTTATAGGGGACACCACTTTTTGGACACTATTTCCTCAACTCTCATATCTGAACTGAAGCAATTTTGAAAACAAATGAGTAAACAGGTGCTTTCCATTCTCTATTCAAAACATGTTTATATTTGAAAATGTTACTTAAGCATAAAGTATAATGCTGTTCTCTAACTTACTGTCTACAGAGGTGCAAAAATATACAGATATGAAACAAAGGGTTTTTTGTCTTTTACACTGGAATTCAGGAATTTGTATTCATAATGGAAACATGCAGTATTAAAATTTTACAAGAAACAGCAGCATATTCTAATTCCAGCCTGCTTTATTTACATTAAGTGATTACTCAAAACAAAAATTCAAAATGCAATTATTAAAACAAACCTTCTGATCAACAGGCAGGATGATTTAAACAAGAAAAAAATGCAAAGAAAACTTTTTTTTTCATTTCTCCCATTCCCATAAACCACTGCCCTCATACTACTCTTCAGTTTAATAGACTATATAAAAGATTACATTTGCTGATGAAGATAAACTTGAATAGCTACACAACACTTCTGAATAATGTACAAAGAGTCAAATATGAGGGGAAAAAGTAACATTCTGAAAATGTAAGACTAACTTTTTTAGAGAGGATTATCTACAGTTCATTTCTCAAAATTGGTTTTAGGCAACTGCTGAATTTCCAGATGTATGAGCATTCACACATTCATCGCAAATATGGGAGTGAAAGACAGTCACGGGAAAAAAGAATCAGACCACCAACTTCAATTACTTCTTCTGATAATTCTGACATAAGACATTCTACCTCAAATCAAGACCCTTCATAGGAAGGTACATCCAAATAATTAGATGTTTCCCTGCAAGCTATACTCCCTTCTGCTCTCCTCTAATTACTGACTCTCAATTTCAATACTGATTTTTCTCCCCTTCTCTATATTCTCAAAATTATTAAAGGAAAAAAAGTTAAAAATTTCAAGGAAATTGATCTACATATTTGATTGAACTTACATTTCATTTCAGCTACAAGCTGGTTAGTAGTATCAAACATCTTTCTGTAAAGATCTATGGACTTAGATAATTGGTCTTTCTCCCTTGTAAGTGTTGCCATCAGCTGCTGCTTCTTGGAATCTACAGAAATAAGCATATATACTTTTAAAAGAAAATACAGTAACATAGCTCGTTTAAACATTAGCAAAAATCTATTAACCTATTACATAGTTCTTAAAAAGTATTATGGACCTAAAAATAGCTGGTTCTAAGGAAAAGCAAGTATTTTAGAGTAATTGACACACACCATTGTAAAACATAAATGAGAGATGATATGGTTCCAAAGGTTTTTTCAGAGCTGGCAGATGTGGCTCAAAGACAAGAATATATTCAGTGCTATCTCTTCCAGGACTGTCTTCAGCCAGCACTAGATTCTATTAAGACAAACAAACATACATAAGTTTATGCCCACACTAGAGGTAACACACAAAATAAACATTATTCAAATACTAAATCTTGTAAGTTACCTAACGCCTGATGTCTAAACAGCATTACTATGGTTTTAAGTATTGAGTTGGAAATGCCTTTTACAACTATTAAACAAAACTAAAATACAAAGATATAGCAGTAGCCATTTTATTATTTAAGAATTAAGATTGTCATTTTACCTGTTTAAAAAGTTGTATTATTTTTGGCTATATATTTTATCTCAAGAAACAGATGCTCAGAAAAAATCTCCTCTGTACTGTTCTGTGAGCAAGATTTCCTCACGTGAACTTCATTCAGTATGTGAAATGCAAACAGAACATTAAACAGAAAGACCTGACGCATAAATATAGAGAAGGAAAAACAAACTATTCCCAGTGCTCAGTTAAAGTTACTGCTGTTACCATGGAAGTAGACAGCAAGTCCCAAATGAATGAACAATATATATCCAAACACTATCATGAACATTCAGTTTCTTATTAATTCCTTATGGAAAAGACAAACTAAATCCTTTGTCTTTCTTTATAAACATGGCAAATATTATAAAACCATAAAGAATGATAAACAGAAATAAAATTAGTACAGGCAATATCTAAATGTGCTGTTACTTTGGGAAAGGTATCATGCATAAAATGAATAATGCTTATAATAAAACTCATACTGTTTCCACCTTTAACATGTAGAAATTGCTACTCAACTGGCCAAATCAAGAGAGAGGTGGTTGCAGCCTAAAAGAAGAGATAGATATATAACCTTCAAAGATAGTCTTCATGGCTTTCAAAAATATTGCAGCTACATATTTTATCAGAAGAAGTCTGTAGTGGAAATATCTTTTCCTTAGAAAACATATTCTAATAAAAGTCTAAACATTTTTCTTCATTAAACAAGTTTAGTATTCCTAAACCTGTGAGTAAGGGTAAATATGTCATATTATCAGATTATTCCCCTCCCCATTACAAGTCACATGAAAAGTACATTGCATCACAACCAAAAAATTCTTTCCACGTGCATTTTGTGAGTTGCTTCAAGTCAGCGAACTCAGTATAAACCAGATGACTGAAAACTGCCTGAAGAGAGACTGGATTCACTGAAACACAATTATTGCCTATGGGTGACGAGGGAACACAAGTTACTGTCAAAAGGAGAAGGATCTCATCAGGTCCCAGTAATGAGAAGGAAGAAGCACACAACATCCTCCACCCTCTATCAAACCAGGAATACATAAGTAGAAAGAAAAAAAAGTCTGCTTACCCAAAAAAAAAAAAAAAAAGAAAAAAGTCAAAACAAGCCAAATTAAAAAAAATCCTAACACACTCCCCCCTCCATTACATAGGTTGTTAACTTTGTCACTGAAGTAAGACTGGAGAATTTAGATCACAACGGAACAACAGTAGGTACATGGAGATAAAACAACCCCTGTTATTTCTGCATCAGTGAGAAGTCAGAGAAATTATCCAGTAATTTTATCTGAACTGTCAGAGGCCACCCTATGGGGTTCTTATTATCCTCAACAGTATGAAATTTGAAACACTGTTCAGTTTCCACCTCATTACCAGAGGTGTAAACACAAGATTTGCAGAAAAAAAGCTGTTTTGTTAGACCACCCTTAGCTATACTTTTGCATTTTTTCTCACCTCACCTGCCTGAGAAAAACGTGTTCACAAACCAAATAATGTATGACTCCTGAAACTTGGTTGAAGAACAAGAGAAACTCAAGAGTGTACTGTAAATCGATTATTTTATCTGATACCTCTATTTAGTCCCTGCATTTCATTTTTCTAGCTTGTTTTTAATACATTTTTTGTCACTTTTCCTTATGGATTAGAGTAGACCAGAGTTTGGCAGATTGTTCAGTGAAAAACGTTTGTCCATGTTAACTAGATGTTTCTAGTCCTTGACTGTTACAAACAGAGAACTATTTACACTGTGTCATTAAGTTTCATATATGTAGTTCCATCAAAGCAGTCAATGTACTGAACAAAATATATTATGAAGAAGTTTGTATGTAGGACCTGTAGATTTTAGGATTGTACTGAGGTCTTACTGTGGTGATTTCCAAGATGTATTTGGAGGTTTTGTGTTCATTGCTATGCAGTGTCTGCCTCCACCTGGCACACACTGATGCTGGTCTGTTGCAAAGCTGCTTCCAATGAGCAAGTCTGAAAAGGTGGCTGAGAAAATGTCTTAAAGAAAGCTGGATTCTCCTTCAGTACCCCTTCTAACTGTTTGAAGACTTCCATAGACTTCAGACTAGTAAAACATCTGACAACAATCAAATGAAGTAGTCAAAAATGAAATTCTGCTCTGTCATTCTTATATTTCAGCAAGTTGAAGAAAACAAGAAACAAATATACAACTGTTTCACCACAGGAATAGTCCTAGTGACTGAAGTTCTCTGTAGGATTTTAAGAGAGTGATTGTGACTATTCCACAGAGAAGAAACTCTACACTCAGTTGGGTTTTTTTGGTGTGTTTTCAACAGTTTCTGCTTTTGTGCACGTTTTAACTCGTGTCTTTTGTATTATATTTTGTAACAGTTGTGACAGATAGAAATCGTAGGCTTTAAAAATTTAATCTGTATTTGTTGAAAAAAAGTGACTGTGGTGATCTGACTACAGTATGCAGTAGTTTCAGAGGTATGCATGTTGGTACAGCCAGACATTAAAACCAAAACAAGGCAGTAATTTTTAGCAGCCAAATGCACCAATAAGTGAAATAAAGCATAAAAAAAAAGGTACTTTTATCTTTACTTCTTCAAATGATGATAGGATGTCTTTCTGCAAAGTATATATAGCCCCACTTAGCTTGAGAAAATGTAAAGAGAACCTGGTAAAATTTAATTACAAATGTATGAAGAGGTTAGTCTAAAGGATCTTAAGATATTACAGCCAGAAAGTATTGTAAAATACTGCTAATATTAATGGTTTAACTACAGATTGGTGAAGTGTTATTTACACGTGAAATTCAAACGCAGAAAATATTTGTCCTAGATCCCCCTGCCTGTCCCAGTCCCTAAGTGAAAGTACCTGTACACTTCCCTCACTTGGCAAGGATAAACAGTTTAACCAATGTCCATCCTTCAGGTTTTCTGAAAATCAGCAACCAAAAACAGAAGAAATAAGTTATCTACTCATCTGTATGGGAAAGCTACGATATATACTAACCCTCCACAGAACACAATGAGATGTAAGATCAACTTTGACACTGTAGGAAAATAAACCTCATTAGATCCATTGCTCATGGAGCTCCGTATTTCAGTCACACTTACAATTTCAGCTGATCCATGCTCAAATGGAAACTCCACTGTACTGACTTTCCCCTGAAACTGTGGGATCTCTATATCTTCTTCATTAGGGCTTTTAATTTTTGCTATTACTCTGCCAACTAGTTCAAGTCCAGTGTGGTTGTTATATTCATCCTGTAAGTAAAAAAGACAATAAAGTTACTTTGGTACGCGAACTGAACTAAGTAATCCATTTCTACACTGCAGTGGATTTGCATGGTAAGGTGCTAGCAGTGGGGGGCTGCAGGGCTGTGAGGACAGGTGGGGGCTGCCCCATGCTGGACAGGGCCGGTGCTCCAACTGACCCACTGCAGGACACAGCTGAGCTGTGAGGAGCTGTTGTGGATTGACTGTGACCCCCATTCCCCACCCACCTGCACTGTTTGGGGAAGGCTAGGGGAGTCTGCAGCAAAGTTGAGCCTAGGAAAGGGTGGAGCAGAAGCTGTTTCTTTATTATTTTTAGTCTTTGTTTCTACTCAAATCTTTTTTAATTGGTGACAAATTACATTAGTTTTCCACAAGCTGAGTCTGCTTTGCTCATGGTGGTAACTGGTAAATTGTATCCCTATGAACATGAAGAGTCCAGGAAACTTTATTTTTCGTAATACAACATTTCTAAGAGAAACTGTCTCCTGGAAGAAAAATCATGGAGAGAAACATCTGCAGTATATACAAGTGCTTTCCCACCAAAACCTATTCTTGAAACAAATTTTTCCTGTGGCAACAAGAAACATGTCTGACAGCAAGGACCGAACATTTAAGTTTTGGTCATCTGTACATAAATGAAACAAGATGCACCTGTTCATATGCTGAAAAATCACAGATTTACATCTTTCTTTTTTTATGAAGTTAACCTGCAAAGAAACAGCAGCAATGCCTTACAGCAAAATTAAAAATATTTTTAGCAGTCTTATATATTTCTCTAATTATGATTTTGTATGAACGTATAGTTACCATTATATGAAGGTATAAATCCTTGACCAGTGTACGGCTCGTAAGAGCTCGAACATTGGAAACTGCTGGAGTAGCTGGTAAAGAATCAGGAAGCAAGCGCACAGGGTCATTAGGTACAACTTCAACTATAATCTAGCAGAAAAAGGAAGAAGAATAAAATAAACTAAAATAAAATAAAGACTGATGTAATTAACTGCAGTTCATCTGCACACTTGGGTTGCTCAAGAAGCATTGAAACAAATACATGAGAAATTTATGGACAATCCTGAAATAAATTAGCACAACCATAAAGCAGTTCTACTAGGTTGCAAATTATGCAGTTCTGTTATTCCACCAAATTTTTGGTTATAAAAGTTAATAAAAACATATTTTGATAATCAACAGTTTAAAATCAGTAGCTATCAAAAATAAAAATATAATTTTTTGCAAAAGTTGCAAGTGAAAGTATTTGCATTCTGAATCTACAAAGTATCATAACACTTCTCACAGATGATTCTGTATTACATGCTATTGGCTACATGCAATTAATTATAGATTCAAACCTGTTCACTGTTGAGCATATTTGTCTTATCCATTGCAAAGGTAAACTGGATAATGTAAGTGCCCACTCGCTCTGGAACCACTTTATCCCTAAATAAACCAAAAATAAACACCAAGCAAACACAAGTCAGTACTGAAGTGACAAGTACGTAAGTATGCAAGCAATTCAAATTCTGAGTAGTCCTTCAACCAGTTAGAAAGCCATAATACTCTTCTTATTTAAGGCATAATACTCTTTTTTCAGCAAGAAAGCCACCAAAGTTTTTCAAGAATTAAGATGAGACTTTTGGAAGCTTGACTGAGGAAAGTCTCCTTCGAGAGTTTGTCTCTCCTAGCTGATAGGAAGTTTGTTGTGGCTCTACTGTTCAGAAATTTGCAAGTCTACTTCATTTCACTTCCTATTAAATGAGTTTTCATAAAGCTTCTAGAGCAAAGCATAGACACGTTTAGATCTGCAATAAATTCTCTCAAAATCTAATAAAATTTACATAAAATTTGAGTAGCTAATTCCTTCCCTTACTCGGATTGTTCAAAGTCGGGTAACTTGAACCACTGGCTGGTGTTGAGTCCAGTGAAAGAAAAAACTGTTTTCATTTTATCGTACAGCATTCCAGAGTATAGACTACTGGCAAAGAGCTCCTACCATCAAAACATGAAGGAAAGACCAGACGTTCTGCTGCTATAAACAAAACTTCACCAAGCAAGGAAGGCCACACGGGATCCAGAAGACCTTCACAGTGTTTAACAAGGGACAGCAGTGACTTACAAATGCTTAGAAACTTTGGAGGAGATCCAAAAAGCCAAGATTCAGATATTTCTACAAGGATGACTCGTGGCACTCTTGTACTGCTTAATAAGACTTCTGTTTTCAATATACAGCGTTTAATCTGTTTTGTTAATATATTAAGATATTTATTTCTTCTTCTTTTGTTTGGGAAGGAGTGATATGCAAGATTCCCTGGAATACATAACTTGTAAAAAGCAGAATTCCAAAGCTTTAATATTTCTAGGATAGGTCATGACTTTTTCATGTTTATATTTCATATAGAGAAGAAAGAATTCTACCTTCTTTTCTGCATTTTATCTAGCTTAAGACTGAAAGTAGCACCTGCCTTGTCAGGATGCATTAAAAAAACTGAGTTGTAAATAATCTGCTAAGGATCTCACAGCTGGACAGACACAGGCTTTATGAAAAGAAGAAATGACACAATTGCTATGAAAGTTGTAAGACTGCATAATAGCATTCATGTTACTGACTGGTGATAAATAGATGAAAACCATTTGTCTATGCCAAGAACAGGAAAACTTGAGACAAAGCAGGTGGTAGACAGTGATGCCACAGACACTGGCAGCAAGGACTAAAACATATCTTTTCTACAAGGGCTGCTAATGGGCAGTGTCTACTGTCCTTTCAAATTTTTCAGTATGGTTGGGAGTTTTAATTCTGGACATTTGTGAACAACTAGTATACTACAGATACCAATGTAAAGATTTTCATAATTCCATATTCAAGTCTATACAGGTTAGTTTATATCACATTGACCACAGTGCTTTTCACAGGAGAACATTTATTAGCACGACTACACATCAGCACATTCATTCTAGTTTTCTTTTTATGGAGGTACAAATACATGATGCAGAGTGCCTTGTTTTGATAACATTTTAGGGAGTTCTTATGTTTTAATTATACCTATTAATTATATTTAATTATACCTACTAAATATTTCTCAGAATGACCAAGGTTACAGAAATGTACCTCATAGTGCAAATCTGAAGCAATCCTTGGTTTCTAAAGAAGTTCATTTCATAACCTTGGACCAGCCACACAAAAACTGTTCTGTTAAAAGCAAAACTGCATCCTCATTTTGAGTCTCCATGTGCTACAGCTGCCAAATTCAGCCTCAGACAGCTTTGGAACCTCAAATGCCTTCAAGGTAAAGACAGATCTTGGAAATTATACACAAAGCCATGCCTAAATATTTTTTTGAGTTAGCTGTAATCTCTTAAATGAAAAAGCCTTCATATACAAATACATCACCTTGCTGTACATTATTAGAGAAGCTAAAAAGACTGAATAAACAAGGGTTGTAGCACTTGCCCTCTCAGATGGGTTAGTTTCTTGTCTGGATATGACAGAGCGAATTACAGATGGAGGTACATGTGCACTGCATAAAAAGCTGAGTCAGACCCCTGGATTTGAGTCTCAACTCCCAAGAAAAAAGTTCTGAAGATTTAATGCTACATGAAGGTCTTTTTACAAACTGGATGCCTGGTTTCTGGAACTCTACTATGCTCCTCAAAAGGGAGGGGAGTTGCAGCTGAGAGACAAGTTAGGAAACTTCTTACCACCTCTTGAAGTGCTGCCATTCAGACTTTCCTGAGATCTTAACATAACTGAGCTGCAGCAACCTACCTCTGTCCTCTGATGCAGAAACCAGGATCAGCTGTACAACAGTAGTATCTGCTGCAATAAGGTGATCCTAAAGTCTGCTTTCTGAAAGCAGAAGAAAAGCTCACTCCTAGGAGGCAAGAGCTTGAATCAACAGCCAGTACTGTAACTAGTTAGCTGATCTCATTGATGGCCTACCAGAAATAGATGTAGAAAGAATATGGCAAGTCAGGCACCAGTTTAGGATGAGCTCTAGTTCTGTTGCTGGTCATCTAAGACAGTATCTCTGAATAAGTAGCTCAAGGAGAATACTAAACTGACAGGGCCAAGATTATGGTTGAGGATCAACTCACAGCTACAGGAAGAATTAAATAAAGAGTTAAGTCTGCTTTGTACAGCCTGCAATTCTACAGCAGTTGAACATTACATTGAAAAGAATTAAAGAATGTTGCTATACACACGGCAAGCTGATGATGTAGTCTCTTCACTGCTAGCATTTCTCACCATGCATTCTAATATATTATCATCATCATGGCCAGTCTTCGCGAACGAAGATCTGGGAAAGGTCTCCACCCACATTCGTTACAAGTGCGCTGGTGATACAGGGCTTTGCAAATGCAGGTAAGGCCTTCGAGCCTGCGCAACGGATTTTTTAGGTGAGACACAGTGTGCGCTGAACTGAGCCCACCCTTTAATCCTAACGTTGATCTGCCGGGGCCGAGCGAGCTCGGATGGTGGCAGCGAGGTCCTCAGGACGTAGGTTTGTTTAGAGTGACCTTCTCTTAGATGGATGGCCTTACAGGGCTGAACGAGCTCCATCTGCCCGGGTTTAGAGTTGTCCTCCTCTTCTGTGTATTCCGGGGCTCCCCTCTCATCTCCCACGACGGCACTGTCCGCACAGGCGGAGCTCCCATTCTCTCACTCCTTTCCGTGCCTGGGGCCGGGCCGCACTGCCACACATGCGCCTGGGGCCGGCCAGGCTGCACCGCCGCGAAGCCAATATATTATCTTAGACTCTTCTCTACTCTCAGATTAAACAAAGTCTAAAAGTATCTAGGAAAGAATTTAATCCCCATCTCTTTGCATCTTGCCAGTATCTTCCACCTTTTTTTAGCACTGTATCCTATTAATTCTATAACAGACTGTTATTATCAAAACATAAAACTCTTGTTTCTATTTCAAACTATGTATTTTGTATAGTAAGTTGCATCAGTAATTATAAAATAAATGCTGCTATACCTGAAGTAGAAGAAGCCATCTTCCTTTTCATCCTTCACTTTACTACAGCTAAATGTTGTAACCTGTACAGAAAGATCCAAAAAATTTAATGCAATATACTGAAAGTATCTTACTTGTAACGTGCTATCAAGTCCTAATGATTTGCAGTACTGATAGCACACAGTAATTTAATGAGATCACCTATAATTTAGGCACTAGTTTCATATCCTTAATTATTGGAATCTTTGCAAAATTCAGGGTGACAATTTTTAATCCTCTCCCTGCTATGAGTTAGCTACTGCAGAGCAGTAACATTTTTATGTTATCAATACTACAGTTATTACTGTAGTATTGATACTTGAGTAGTCTGCCAACTCGTAACAGGACAGATCCTGACAAATAAATATGGCTGATCTGTAATAATTGTTACTTAAAATCTAGAACAGGATACAGATCTAAGTCAAATGAAGGAAAGTTTCTACTACAAATATGTTTGGTCTATGCTGGCATTTTGACATTGGTTTTGAAAATGCATTTTGATGACTTACATCAATTGGCGACCTAATCCGGCTGCTCTGTGCTTCCCACATTTTCATACAAATCCGTGCTGGATTAATATTTTTAATAATGGTGTCATCTTCAGAAAGAACACTAACCATAAAATCTGTGGGATGAGAGACAACATTCTTTGAAGATTATTTTTATTCAGAATTAAGAAGCCTAAACTTCACTAATTTCTGTGCCTGTTTCACACCTAAGATAAAAATGGAGGCATGACTCTCTCCAAGACTACAGTGCCCACCCTCAGGTGTACCTGAGCTCACCAGTAAGTCAAATAATTAGGATGTTAAAGTATTTTATTTACGTAGTATTTAATTGATATGAGGCTGTTAATAAGGAATTAATTACCTAATTTTATTAAAAAATGTAATGTCATATATACTATATAAGTTATCTCCTGATGAAGCTGTTTACTCTCAAAACCTGGCTGATTTATACCACACAGTACATTTGAAAAAGGTCTGTTTGGCAGGGAGGTTGGAGCTAGATGATCTTTACACATCCCTTCCAACCCAAACCACTCTGTCATTCTATGATTCTACATTATGCTTCCTCTAGGCAAAACTAAAATACCCTGTGAATTTAATCAAGTTCATAACACTATATGGAGTATTCTAAAGAACAAAAACCTCTTGCAATAAAAATGTTGGCTGATCAAGTTAAGATGGTAAAGAAACAAGCCCCAACACCCCGGACTTTGTATTTGTGGGGGTATTCTGCTTCTCAGCTCCTAGTACCACAAACACATCCTTTTTATTCTAAATTTTGAACAGATGTTGTGGGTATTTCATAAAGGCTTGGGAATACAACAAATGGATTTGTATGAAGCAGATTTTCAATTTTTTTTTGTCACCTTTGGGTGACCTTTATCATCTGAGAATCCAGAAACATTTACAAAGGAATAGGTGGGAAAAAATCAGATGCTTAGGTTGAAATCTTACTGAACTGAAAACACTCCTAAGAGAAACAATTTTTAAGTCCATCTAAAGGGAAAGACTGAATTATTGGAAGGACAGTGTCCTGTAACATCTTATAGAGCCTCTGGTTAAGAAACTTGCCAAAAGCTGTCTAAGAAACCAAGTACTCTATATCAGAAGGATCACTCGCATTCATACATTTGTCAGCTTCTTCAAATACCTTTTTAAGGCACCACTTTCCTGTACGAAAGTCATAGTTCCCAACTTGCTCCCATTTCTTAGCCATCAAGTCACTTAGTTATATTTGTTATATTCCTTCCAACAACTGCCCAGTACTGAAAACACACCACCTGATCAAAAGTTTCCTTGACCTCTCCTGAAACTTTCTGAAAACTGCATCAGATTTGCCACCTTACTTTATTCCTTTCAAATAAAGGCCAAATTAAGTAGGATTAGTATATTAGAGTTAATAACTTTAATTTATAATTAAGTGAATATCATTCGGTATAGGAAATTTCTTAGCATTGCATCAAATAGATCTCAAAGTCATCTACTGAAGATTCAAAAGTGAATTTTAATTTTATTCTTTTAAAATCCAAGGTAGGATTCGAATGGGAAAAAAAAGTAGTTTGGAAACTACTTTACTCTCCTTCACAGATACTACTGACAAAATACAGTAGGCTTCCTAGGTCTCAAGTTTATTTTTTTTTTAAATTTCACTCAATTATTACTGAAGTCTTTTTCTGCCTTCCTTAATACAGCATTACACTTAAACTGACAGAATCTTCTTGCTTTCTACTTAATTTATGTAAACAGGACTTCAGCTTCCTGAAGAGTATCTTTGCAAGATACTGTATCATACATGGTTATTGTAAAGAAGAGTTGTTTCCTGAACTAATGGAATTAGTTAGGATAGGTCTCTTATTCATGCCAAAGTTTCCATACAGAAAAAAGCAAAACTTTCAAATTCTGTTTCGCTTTTAGCAAAAGATATTTCCTCAAGGTTCTAACTTACTCTTCTTTATTTGTTTTCCTCATTGTAAATACTACTGGGATACAAAACATGAGATGGTTTTTTGTCTTTAATGAGTCAGTGGTCTTAGTTGGAAGGAAAAGATCACTGTTTTGTTAGAGAATACATCAGGAGAAAAGAGCATTTTGTACTGTCCCTGGCATACTTCTGATCACTTTCTGGTTCCTCTTGACTCATGGCTGGCCTACAATTTCACTTCATTTCCTCTGTCACTATTCCATAGAAAAAGGGATGAGGGGAAATATGCATGAACTAGCTCAGATCAACTTTTGGGAAGATCGAAAACTGAAATATGGTATTTCACCAAAGATATAGAAGAAGTTCTGTAGTTTTACCACTTACAGATGGATAGAACCAACAATTTGGAACAAATAAATAAGAAGTCCTTTGAAATGCTTTCCAAAGATGACCTACATATTTCTTATCTCCGAGTGTCACAGATGCATCTCAAATACAGCTGTAACAAAGAACTGAGACAAAAGAGACCAAAAAAGCAAGAAAATACACCACCAGAATCACTAAAACAGTTTTTCACAGGTTTACAAAGCTCTTGAGTGATCCACTAAAGGGTCTTTATACTTACCAGGAAAGGTACCTCCTGCTGGAAAAGAAGGACTTCTGTCATATTTAACATTCAAGCAAACGGGTTTCTCAGGATCAGGCAGGACATTTACTGTGATTATAGGACAATCTAATGTTGTCTTGTTGTATAAGGCTCTAAGCTGTAAAATGTGCTCTCCCCTGCAATATACAGAAATCATAACAACCGATATAAAATCTCTTCTGAAAAGCCAGTTTTCAACAGGCTTCAAAAGTCTGAAGCATGTATCTGAAAGCATGACAAACAATATTCAGTAGTGGCAAAGTTGTAGCAAAGAGAAGACAAACCCAGAAGTGTTAATGCAACATTAGACAAGTAAAACTGTGAGTTTAAGCTATTCTTAAGATATTAGCTTACTGAACTTAATTTTGCATTATATTTCCTTAGTCTGATCGTGTTTCATTGCCTGTCTGTAAGACACTAGCAACCACAGCTTCAAGTAGCAGAAGGCAGTAAAGCAGAAAGCAAGCACACCTAATACAAATACTGTCTGAGGAGCGTTCTGCTTTGACAGTTTCCAAAGAACGAATCTAACTACCATCCACATGTAGCAAAGTGCAGTGCCAGTATATAAAGATTTCAGCGCTATCAAATAACTAATTTTCTTTACAGTATTAAAAACTTAATTTTCAAGTTTTCACACATAACTGGGAATACGGTATTTAATTGCATAGAGGCTGTACTCCCCAGCCAGTTTTGATTATTCTATAAATAGTATGATGACACACCTGTCTCTAACCTACAGTACTATATTGATAACTAATGTTCATCATCTTTCTACCATGACACAGGCATTATAAATACACTGAGCACCATCAACAGCATTCAAAGTTATTTTCTTCCAAACCCGAAATAGTACTATTGGCCAACTCCTGCAGATATGAATGCAAAGAAATAATCTAAAGCCAACCCGGTCTTGCAAGAAAAGCTCAAGGGCACAGGGAGTGGATAGCAGAACTGTGAATAGAAGAAGATACAAAAATGATGAATTTGAAAAGCCAGATGGGACATATGAGTGTAAGGGGAGCCAGACATGAAGAAGTGAGCGTGAAGAAGCACATAAAGAAGCAGGAGCCACAGGACACACATCTGCCTGGAAATAAGACTTCCTTAGTTCGAGTGCAAATAAGAAAAGATAAATACATATTTTTAAAGTTCTTTTGGACACTCCACCTAATCCTTTAAAACAATGCCTAGCACACAGAGAGAGTGGAATTTCAACACTCAGAATGTGTTCCTACTTTGAAAAATAGTGTCTGGAACGGGACACTTAAAGACTGTACATTTCAAATCTTTTGAGCGGTTTATGACACCACTTGCACTTGGTGCAGGTTGACAATTATAAGCTGTGTTTTACCATCACCAGAAAAAACAGGATTCAGAAAATTAGATTAGCAGCTTCTCAGTAGACCAAAAGAAGCAGCTAAGGAATTTTATTTAGTTAAGCACTTAATTTCTTAAAACTTAAAATTTGGCCATCCACCAGCATACAAGCAATTAATGTTTGATCTCAGTTCTAGATTAATACTTGGTAGGTACTTTATGAAATGCACAGCTTAAATACATCTAGCAAGTAATATTTCAGAATTCAATTTTTTTCAATCTAGTTTTCACTACTTACCTAGGTCCATGAATACTAAAAACTCCGAGGTTAGCCCTACCAGTGTCATCTGTTTTATGTTGCTGGTTTGAAGGAACAATCTGTCAAATAAAAAAATTTTATTCTTTTAGTGATATAGAAACAGCATCAAGTCTTAAAAGAAAACATGTATCTCATTTGCCTGCATACTGCCTGTCGATTTGAGCTGTAGTCTCTTTGTATTTTTGCACTCTAAATTAGGGAAAGACACTGTTATGAATACTAATTTATTATGAATACTAATACTGTTATGAGTATTAATAAAGAAGTTTCAAAAATCTCTGCCATCTTTTGTAAACAATCACTTTATCTGAAACAAGGATATTTTTCTTCATCGATATGTTCAAATATTTTATTAATATTATTTTTTAATTGCTACTGATACTATCATGTCATCCACAGCAGACATTAATCTGAGTATATTTTCAGATCCAAAAGCCTTCTAAAAACTATTTATTCCCTTTTACAGTGTTTCTCTAGTCTGCACAGAGATTTCTAGGCAGCAAAAGTTTTACAACTGCAGTAAAAACAACTATGACAACTGTCTCTCTCTTCTCTTTCCCCAATATAATCTTGCTGCCAAAAACGTGAGACTGCTAGACAACCTAGAAGAAAGTGTTAAGTGATGAAGTACAGTACCTTATTTATCAAACATCATGATAGGCAAGATCTCTATACTGTAAAAAATGGCATTTAATCAAATGCTCATCATGATAACTTCTTGTCAGTGTTGTTTTGGGCTAACACCACAAATGGCTTATACATCTGTTAATCTAGCGCATTAATTACCTCCAATTCTAAGTCCTTTAAGTCTTATGATTAGCAGTAGCTTTAAGTCATACCTGCCTTACTTAAATGGCAGAGAAGCTATCACTTCACTTTCCTCTTCAGCCACAACTTTTTGAAACTATTGCAGATGGCAAATGCCTATCCTCTCACAGAGACAGGTGGGAATCTTAAAGAATACTAATACACTCCTTAAGTAAGCAGAAGCTATTTCTTCTGCAAACTTGTGTGCATGCTGCTTTAGCCTTACCCAAGAAATAGCTTGTCAATGTATCAAAAGAATCTCAGACAGTATCTTTAGAATTTGGTGAACAGCAAAGCCATGGATACATTCTGAGTTACTCTGTAATGAAGTCCTCACTAGGGAGGGCAATCGACTCTTTGACTGATGATACAATGAAACAATGTGGTGTAAATGTTTGTCATTATCTGAACAGTGCTTGGAGTTAAATTGCTTTCCCTCTACAACTTCAGCACAAATTTCAGGAGACTGCCTAGTCTCCACTTAGATAAAAATAATGATTTTGGACCACTTGAAGTGCGCAATCTTCTTCCAAAATTATTTTCCTTCCTGAACCTCATGTCAGTAAGAAAAAGAATGAAACCACTTCGGGGGTGGGGGGGGGGAAGTGAAAGTTGATTCATCATGGATGAATCAGCTATGGGAGCATGAGTTTATCCCTAGCAAGTCACTAGAGAAAAGCAATGGCAAAAAATGTGTGCTTAATGGTTCAAATGGAAGGCAGTGCTATAAAGACAGACTAAGAAAAAAGCCAAACATTTCGTAAATTCTTTTGAAGAGTATAATCAACTTAAAATAGGTCTGTATTTGAAACTACTGACACAGACTGAAAAGTTTTAAGTTTTACAGGAAACAGTACTTTGTGCACTTCCACCAAGAGTTCAGAGTTTTTATGTTCAGCTATACTCATTTAGTTTTGGACCTGTAAGATAGAAGATGGAATAAAGGAAATGCATGCTGCAACTGCATATTACACTTTGGAGACTTAGAGACCAGGATGTGAAATACAGAAAGACAGCTTATTCAAGAATTTCAGTTCCCAAAAGCTTCTCAGTTCTTTTCTGAGACTGTGCATACAACCTATTGGAAATGCCAAGTTCTCTGAAGAGGTTTTTCAAGATACTAACGAATACTGATCTGATGTTTATTCAACAAATATACAGTTGGTTGTTCTGCTTATGTATGAAACTTAATCTTTAGAAATTAGACTGGTTTTAAGCTCTAGGAGAGCACGCTGTAATAAACATATTACAACAATGATCTGCCTTGGCTTTCAGAACACCTTCTCCTGGACACATCCACCTTAGATAAAGAACATGTGGACTCTAAAACATGATGCTGGTCCTCCCCGGAGCAAGGTATAAAATCTGAAAAGACACAGCCTGCCACCACAACAACTATTTGATGAGGCAGCACAACCACATGGTGTTACTGTCAAGGTTGTAGGTTCTCTCAAGAACAACATAACGAGAAACGTTATGAGCTGCAGCTGCCATCATAAAGACAATAGTTGGGGCAAACAAAAATATCCCAAAGTATGAGGCAGGTTTCTACGGCAAGAGATGCAAAAGAGCCAGAAGAAAAATATTCAAGATATCATGAAATCTCCTTAAAAAAAATCCAAGAAAAAAAAGTAGTAATAGCATAGTTAAATTGGGAAAAAGGTGAGGCTGTGGCACAATTCTTGAGAAGTGAGCAAAAGACAGTTCCTAGCTGTTGTGTATCCTGAGAGAACTGAGGGACACAGATACATGGCAAGCAGGAACAAAAAGGGAACAAGACCAGCTCTGCATGAAAAATGTTATGCCCAGAGGTGGATGAATATATCCTGTACTGATAACATATACGTTCAATGTAACAACCTCTGCCCTAATAGTTAGGAATGTTTGATTGCTTGACTTTTTTTTTCAACAACAAGAACAAAAATTTTAATTGATGGAGTATTCTGTCAAACTCCTTTCTTTTAACAGACCAATGTGGAGACCAGCTGACACATCTCACTCAGGGAAAGGGCAGCAACCACTTAAATTTGGGTTAGATTTGCATCCTCATTGTTTTAATTTAATTTATTCTGCCAATGCATTTCACAGAGATAATTAAGTAGGACTTACAGACCTTAAGTCATACATTCAAGAACCAAAGTCAAAGAACCACCAGATAAAAATTATTTGGTTGCTAGTTGGGACCATATCATCATCATTACTGTCATTCAGTCAATTACCTTAGATACCGTGGGGAATGGGGTGGTGTGATGTGCATACAAAATTTGGAAAAAGGTTCTGTAGAACACCTGGAACCTATTCTAACACTTTGACACTGTCCTATAGGATTTTTATTTTATTTGTGATTGCTATAATGCAAGGAAACTGAACAATCTGTCCTGGGAACTCTTTACATTATTTGTTGACACTACTATTATACTAGATTAAATATGCTTTTGTGTTCTTACAATAATTGATTAACTTTTCCAAAAATGTCCTGAAAATTAAGATAATGTAGACATGACAAAAAACCTCGTGTTAAACAAAGTTCACATAATAAGGCCTACGCTTACCTTTAAGCTGTTACTCTTTGTAAGGCTGATTTTGACATTAGGTTCAGGAGATGGATTTCCCCACTGATCACACAACTGAACAATAAGGGGCCTGTCCAATTCTCTACCATTAATCACTGCAATAGGCTGGAAGAGAAACAAAAACATTTTACTATTCTGTCCTAGGTATCTCAGATGTTCATGGAAGGTCCGAAATTCCCAAAGCAATGGTATCCATCATTTCAACACCATTTGTCTCCCATAATAGCTAGACCATGATAGAATTGTATCCAGGAGGGTATTTCTAGAGTTTCCTTATTTATATTCTCTTGTCATAATAAAATGCACTACTTGGATTGCACAGGTTACTCAAGTTGATGTGACTAAAAGGAAGGACATGTTTCTGAAGAGGACTATCAGTGTCCTCGTTGTAGGAAGAGCTAATGGCTTAAAACATTTTTTTTCTGATATACTTTAACAGCTATCTATAGAGCAAAAATAGTTATGCTACTTGCTGAACCTTTTATTTTCTTCAGTAACTTCCTTCTCCATTTTCCCAACACACCAACCTTGATTCCTGCCCTCTATTATAGAGATCCAGTTTTCTTTTTCCCTCTTTCACTCTCCTATTCTGGTTTCTGCTGCAACTTCAGCATTATCATTTGATTAGTCAAAGTAAACAGTGAAAAACAATTTAAAATTTGAAAAACAATTGAAAAACAAGACAAATAAATGTATAGTACCAAAAATCTTCTGCCTTCTCATTCAAGTCCTGTACTCCATTCTCCACTTTCTTATTGTAAACACTTGTAAACTTAGGTACATTTGAAACTGCCTTCCTACACCCTAAATATCAAAAAACCCCAGTAACAGATAAAGGAGAGATGAGCTGCCAGCTGTCACTATCATTAAGGACTGTGTCTTCGGAAAACAGTAAGGAAAGATGAGTGTCAGGATCCAGCCCACAGTAAAAAATTACTGCACCAAAGAAAGGAAAAAATATGCCATCTGTAGAAATGCACATGGGGCAGAATAAACAGTTTAAGACATACTGAAGGAATACAGTGTTGTAAACATACACATATGACTTAGATTACTTCAAAATAAGTTGACTTTTAAAAACCTAATGTAGTTAGCTATTGCATGAAAAATGCTTCATATCTATAGTCCCATTTAAAACACAACTACATAATTAGATTTCAAAATACTTACTTAACATTGCTTGTGTTATGTTGTCCTGTAGAGAATAAAAAAATGCCTCTAGAGCAGTCATATTCTGACAATTTTACAAGTATAAATACTAAGAAATCACAATCCGTGGTCCCAAAAGCTCTGGAAATAAAAAAACCTGACTAGTGATCATGTTGCTTTTTTTCCAAAACAAAACTACTGAACTTACCTTTTCTAATTCTGGCCAATCCACAAACTGCAATTTAGCAGGCAATCCTGCTACTAAATTCACCCTGATAAAGTCAGAAAATTCACGCCAAGCAAAGCACAATTCTTTGCTTCCAAGTAAACAGGGTTTGTACCGAATACCTTTTACTTTCATTGTTTGAGTACTGTCCTATTAAAAAATAAAGAGAAGATTTTATAAAGAACAAGTAAAGGGAAGTATAGTTAATTTTTTTCAATATAGTATTTAATATTAATACTGTCTAGACACTATTTGCTGTTTTTACTGTGAAAACAGTGGATTAAAAATTAAAATGCAAACTCTATGCCTTCTGTTAAATTTAAATGAACTTCTTGAGTAAGAAGTGATCACTGAAATTGAGCATTTCTCAGAAACTTGTTTTCCAGTGTATAAGTTATGCACAACTTGATTATATCCAGTATACTTTAAAAGGTATAGACATTAGACCATTCTACAAAGTTTTTCAAAAGATCTAAAATCAACTGTACCAACACAAATAAACACAGAAGAAAAGACTAAAAACAAGACAGAAGAACACATTGAACAATGGACTAGAAACAAAGCAAACCTGACTCAAGCACAAAGCAAACTGGTCCCCACACTGGTAGCTGCAGCAGTGATAAGGTTTTTAACAGATGCTGCTGTATTCCTTAGAACTGGATCATACAATTTTAAAGCTCTAAGCCTCTTGTTGCACATCTTACCAACTAGTGTGTAATTTTGGTTCAATTCTGTGTGACAGAATTCAGACAATTACCACACAAATGCCACGAAAAAATAAACTATATAACACTCTTATAAATACCTGCCAAGTTATTTTCAAATTTGATTTATCAAGTCCAGGCCCAGAAACTCCTAGGGAATTTACACATGCAGATGTCACTGCATGAACCTGATTTCCAAACTGATCTGTAATCATTACATCTGTTAAAAAAGATGATGATGATTATTAAGATGATTACCTCAGCAGCTGCTTTAATGAAACATTATACAACATATGGAATATAAACGTACACAAACATAGACACAATAGAGAGAATTTACATGACTGAATCGCAGAGTGGCTGAGGTAGGATGGGACCTCTGGATGTCACCTGGTCCAAAGCCTCTGCTCAAGTAAGGCAACCTAGAGCCAGCTGCAGCCAAGCAGCTTCTGAGTATCTCCAAGTACGGGGACTCCACAAACTCTCTGGGCAATCTGTCCCAGTGTACAAACTGAGAGCCAGATTTCATCAGAGAGTAACTCCAGAATTGAATAAGGGCCACTAGAGAAGTGTGATCATCTTTCCACGAATAAGAATATAAACCTGCTTTTTATATTAAAATAGTTATAGATAATTTACTTTTGCTGACATCTGTATACAAAACAGGCTTAATAAGCTGCAAAGAAAAAGAAATGTATCTTAAAAAAAATGGAAGAATATGCAAATACTCACCAATTTCACTTTGTAGTTCTTCACCCATCCGCAGTGTGTTTGAACCTTTTAGTTTACATTTAATGTGTTTGGGATCATCAGGAACTGGTCTGAAGCAGCATATGAATATTGACTTACTTTTCCCATCAAGGTAAACATAACATAATAGTAGGCATGATAAATATCTTAATGCTTGGTCATGTAATTTATTTTCCTACTGCAGATCTGTGAAATGACTAATTGCTGCAAATTTACCCCAGCATCAGTGTGCTGTGACCTAATTAGTTTATTTTAACCTATTGACATCACACAAAATACACTAATTTAGAATCAGATTCATCTTAATAAACTTCATAAAGATACAAGGAGAGCTAACTGCCTAGACTCACTAACAGTGATAAACACACAATTTTAAAGTTCAATTTACAGCCTATCTTTTTTGACTGAGAAACCAGACGCAGAACTAACTTCATAGTGGTATTTCTCTTCAGTAACAAGTGACCTAACTCTAAAACTAGTGATTTTAAGAGCTATTATTTACTGCAAATTTTCAAAGATAATCTTCTTCGGTGTATGTATACTTACACAAGTGATTACTGGATACAAACAGATCATGATGGAGTCTTTCACATAGGTAATGGTCTCACATGTAAACAATTTGCAAAAAGTCTTCCTCCCTCCCCCAAACTTACATTCTCCTGTTAATTTGCCAGTTCATTTCATTATTTGAGCTTAGTAGAAAGACTTCTGTTTTACCTCAAAGTACAGATCTACAATGCTATGCCAACAACATAATTAATAAAAAGTATTTCAAATGAACAAACCTGACTGTGAATGCGCTCTCCAAAGACACGTGTTCATCAAGATAAGTAATTAGGCAGTAACGTACATCTTTTACTGAGCTCGGTACTTTTACATCAGGTAATAATCCCTGCATCAACAGTTCTCTGTCAATTTTAGGTGTCCAGTTAACCTAAAATTAAAATGTCATAAATTAATCAAAAGCCAAATTATTAACAATTAACTACATAATACATCTTTTAACCATTCTAACATAAAGGCAATAGAAACCTTCAATGGAAAGCCTGTACACTTCCCAACAGTAACCAACACTATCTTCCCAAATACAGTCAATTCCTCAGAAAAAAAATGCACACAAATCCAAACATACATTAAGTTGCCCTCACTAACCTTGAGTTAGGAAAGATCCAATTCCGAAAAACCTCACCTAAAAAAGCAAATCTCTATGTTTGTATTAGACTCCAAATATGTACACAGACAGGGAGACAAGACAGGCAAACAAACCTCCATAAGGAACATGCCTTTTCAAAAGTTCCTAAATGTGGGGAAAGCCTCCCATCTGAAGAATCGTAACTATGTCCTAATTATTTTATGTGTTTAGGAGAAGCACTGGAAATACTAACCTGCTTTTCATAGTACTACCCTGAAGCATTATTTAACATTTAATTAAATAAAATAAGAATATTTAAAAAAAAAAGCAGAGAGTTAAGTTCCCATGTTTAATAACACAGTCTTGAGGAATATTATTTCACAGTCTGATGTCTATGGATTTTAAGGGAATAACCTTAGTGTCTCTCCCACATACCATGCCGCTGTTTAGTTCAAAGTACTTGCCTTGATTTTTTCTGCAGCAGCTGCAGTTATGGGTATCTCCCTTTCTGCCTCATCATACATCTGAAATATAAGCTTGTTCATGATACGGCCAGCAACGCAACTAATTTCATCCTGATGTTTAATTTGAAGAGCTTTTTGTCCGTTCATACTTAAGACTTGTAGTCTTGCAACATGACTGCTAGGAAGAAGTTTAATAATCTTTTCCACTGGTGGCACATCTTTACAATTCTATACATGGGAGGGAAAGAAAAGACATATAATTAAGATATTAAATGTAGATGTGCATAGACATAAGTCCATAATAGCTTATGTTACTACTCTGGTTTTCCAGATGTGATCAGGTGTCCAGACACGAAATCAGCTTGACTTGTCAAAAGTAAATCAAAAGGATGTGCCAGTATACTTACAACTTTTTACAGATATTAGAATTGATGCTAGCTATTTAGAATATTTTTCTATTCTAGAAATACTATGTTACACAATTTACAAAATACTTCTTAAGAATAATCATAAGTAGCCTTTCATATAGGTCATCTTGCAGTATTAGTATTTGTTTACACATTTTTCCAGGGTAAAAAACACACAGGTGTTATTTTCTGCAGCAGTGTGAGTCTCCTGACTACCAGAGAACTGGTATATTCAGTAGCATTTTTTAAAAAAAAATCATATTTCAAGAGCTTTAAAACTGAAATGCTACAAAAAACTATTGATTGCCATACCTTTTCTGACACTAAATGTTTATGCAATGACAGTGCAATTTGTCAAAATAATCCAGGTACTAATAAGGGGCAGAAAATATGCATATTTCTGAAAACACCTCAGGGATTTAAGAAATAAAGAGTAAGAGGTGAAGAAAAAAAAAGTTAAAAAAGTTTAAAATTCTTTGTCTTTTTATGATTTCCTAGAGATTAAAAAGTGTAGCCACCTGATTATCAGGCTTATGGTAACTAAACCAGTAACTTTTAGGGGTTGATTCATAAAAGATGTAACACAGTACAATAAACTGTTTTCAATTTTTTGTTCATGCAAACTTTCCAAGCAATACTTACAAGTATTTCAATTCTTGCTTTCAGCATCTGGTCTTTCTTGATATTCTGTACATGTATAACTGGACCAGTTAAAATGTTTGTTCCTCCATTACTGCAGTCCACAGAATACACAGGAAGGTCTGAAGCACCTAAAAACTATTAAAAATGTAAGAATAAATTTCAAGTTTCACTGACAGAATAAAAATGATTACTCCAGAAATTATTATTTGTACAAGTCCATATATATATATACAGAAAAATTTTATATATTTCAGTTTTCCAGAAGCCTGCAGGACCAACACCTGTAGTTTTCCGCAGGTGATAAAAGAGATGTGTGGGAGAAAGGAGGAAGTTATAGAAACAAAATATACTATCTATCCAACTGCTTTGTACTAACACATAAGCATTAGTCTCTTCTGCCATTATGCAATAAATTCAATTAAACTCTTAAGTAAACATAATTTTCATTAATTTACTAAACATCATGCATTAAATGAATTTAAACATTTGAGTTCAACATATCATACTATTGCAGACCCAGTCTGCAGGAAGACAATGCATGCATATAACCTGTAAGTGGAATGCAGACTATTTTGCAGTGAGAAAAAACACTTTTCTTTGTTCTTACTGAATTTCACTAGAATTGGAAAAGTTACTTTCTTAAGTCAAAAAAAAAGGGCAAGTTGCCAAAAGAGCAAGTTTTTTTACTTCTTAAAGTCAGAGCGAGACATGCATTCTCTTCTGAGCTTAGATTCGTGCTTATGATAATAGTCTTATCCAATATTCTTTTTGGCACTAGACTTGCTTTTTCAACTTAAGAAAAATATCAGAAGTAAGCTGCATGAAGTTATTTTTCTGAATAAATTTTAACATTGTATATACCCTTATATAATTTTCTCTTCCATCTCTATGGTCTGGTTCCACTGATTCTAAAACTTATTGAATGATTTATAACGGATGAGGTAAGAGAGTCACAGTTTGGCTACTGAACTGTAGAAACTTCAAAAGCATTATTAAAGATATTAAACTCTATCTAGATTCCAAAATAGACTCTTCTCCCAGCTCTTTAAAAAGAAAGTTTCAAAATTCTTATGGCACATAATGAAATGTAGTTTACCTTACAATGAACAATCAACTCTGGCTGTGCTGTTATATTTCCTGATTCATCCAGTACTTCAACCTGAAAGGGAAAAGCTGTACCATTTTCAATCTTCAGAATTTCTGAGTCTGGTTTTACTTTCAATTGATGAGGAGGGCCTGTAAAAATGCAGAATTGCATAACAGCACTTATATTTTAGCTAACTAATGAGACACTGATTTTCAGTTTTTGCTATCTCAAGGAGTTTTTAAAGCCAAGCTACCAAGGTATGTGTGGTAACAAATCATCTAAAACAACTCAGGTGTATTGGTTTATATTTAAAAATTCTAGACTCTTTTTGTCCTTCAGTACATAACACCTGCCAATCTTTGAATTCAGTATGGAATAGCTAGACAAGATGAAATTCAGCATATGCAAGGTGTAAACACAGGATATGGGTGTGTTTACACACTAATGGATTTGCATTGATCAAAAAGAACCTTGGAGCTTTCTTCTGACATGTTAAAACCTGAAATATTCATGTTGAAATATCTGATTAATTGCCAAAGCTATCACAGCTAAAATCTGCATGCAAAGAAATGCAAAAGAAAATTTTGTTGTCATTACTTGGACAGTAAAATGAAGCTATTCAATTAAGTCTATCCCCTTGAACATATAATTATTTTTTATCAGTTTTAACAAAGAGAAGGAAGTAATAGATTACTATTAAAAGGCAAGTCCTGAAGGAACAAAGAAGGCAAATTTTCAGAAACATCTTTTATGCATGATGCATTAAAACTTCCATTTCAAACTCAATAGTTGAAGAACAAGAGACTGAAATAGCTTTTATTCACTCCTTCCTCAAAAAACAGCTTTAAAAGCCAAGGATAAGTCCAGTGAGAAGAAAGAAGAAGAAGCATCTCTACACTGCCAAAAGCAAAAGATTCTCATGAAGGACAAAGCTGCCTTCAGTCCAAGGTAAATAACAGCAATACACAAATACACAACACAGCCTGTCTCAAGTTCAGTCATTCTGCTCTGTTTTCTATATGAAGTCTTACCTCCTCAAAAAATAAAGAATAATGGAATAAACTGCTCATTGTTGGCCTAACAAAGCTTGAAGTACAAAATTTCTACGCAAAATGAGACACAGAAGCCTCAAGTTTGGTAATCTGGAAGGCCAAAAATCAGCCTTCAGACTACACCTTGCACCCCAAATTCAGAAAAACCCAAGTAACAAGGGATAACAGGTCTCATATAAGGGAATCCTCAGCATCAAGACATGCACAAAACACAAAATTCTGGTAAGGGCAGTGTCCTCACAGACTTTCATGTTCCTCTCTTGCATTATGATTAATTCAACATGTAACATTAAAATTTCAGACACAATCCAACTGCCAAAGCATCCCCTTTGCTGGGATAGGAAACTGAATGAGCACTTACTCATTCACAACATTTTTTCTACAGGGAGAACAGGTCAACGCAGACTAGTACAGGTTAAAGATCTTAATGCTAAAGAAAAATCAGAAGATAAGAAATTAATTCATTCAACGTTGCTAGGTTAGAAAAAGATTTAAAATGATTAAAAAAAGAAATGAAAAATCAGTCTTGAGCAAGCAGAAAACTTCCAGCTGCTAGAACAATAGACAGAATTGGGCTGTATGATGTTACTCCTGCCAAGAATGACATGCCCTTCGGTTTATTTAGTTTCTAGTCATCATTTGGATGAGATAGAATCCTTTTTTTATACTTCACTAAATGTTTAACCTTCTTGGGAGAAGTATTTCATTAATAGTGTCAGAATAAAGTTCAACAGGAATTCATTAAATATTTTAAGAATTCTTACCAGGCTGCAATCTTATTTTAATGATTTGTGTGTCTTCTTTCAAACCAGGAAGAGTAATCTTCAGATTAAAGTTCTAATGAAAAGAATATTTTAAATATTAACCTTAAAAAACCCCGTACAATAAACTGTCTCACATAATCATGTCAGTTCACATATATGTAAAATTTATCTCTACAAATTTTCTTGCACTGCTAAAAAAAGGGAAAAAAAAAAAATCAACATTTTTTTCCCCTGTACTGAAATCTATCATTTCCATGTTATACTCAGAGACATCCAATCCAGGATTTGCATGTTATACTATATGGTTCTGAAACCATTAAAAGCAGCTATCATAACTTGTAGTTTCCTGCTTAAAGGCTGTTTTAATGGGAAAAAATATATCAGTTAAAAAAAAAGCAGTTTTAAAGAAAGGGTCAGCAACTTCTGTGTTTGTTATTCCTTAGCAAGGCACAACTACTGTCCATCTCATCTTTGGATAAGGCCATAAGAAAAACAACTGCTGTAGCCTGCATCACTAAAAGCAACTTTCACATTAAAATCAGAGAATGAAGCAGTCAAGTCAATCTTAAAAGCTCCAACTTAAAAAAAAATAGTTGCACTACAGATATGTGAATTTCATATGTTATATATATAAGATATTTGACAATATTTAATTGCAATTCAGGAACTGTCATCTGTATATGCTCAGAAACACTGTCTCTGGAAAAGTTTAGTTTCATAAGCCTGGCGTATGCCCTTGCCATGCCTCACAGTATATGTGCAACACTAACACCTTGTAGATTGCATGAGAACAACCAGGTAATTCTTCTGGTTTGCTTGGTGGGAAAAGCAGAAAGTGCAATAAGGCCTGAGCAGGTGCATCACAACTGCAGCCAAATCAAATACACGAGGTCCCCAGTTGATGGCCAGACATGCAGGTGGCATGAAAACTCTCCAGCTCTGACCAGCCACCCAACCATACAGGTCTGCTGGAAAGCCAAACAGCACATATCAGCTGAAGCCCCACTAAAGTAAAGGGGAAAAGAAGGGAAAAAATATGGTAGGGAATAAAAACATAGGAAACCGGTATAGATGATAATAGGTGTTTAATGCTAATAAGCTGAATTCTTCAGTAGCTTTGTATTCATTCACTAGACACTCATCCTATGCTCTCCTTCTTTTAGTTTCAAAACCTTTTCTGCAATACTCAGTTTTTACTTAATATTGTCTTCTTCATGCTGCACTACATACAGTTGCAAATTATTCTTGCTATCTTTAACTTCATTCCTTTTAATCTTTCAGCATCTGCGTTTTCTAGGAAAGTTGTTTTCTCTTATCCTTTACGACCCCTGTATCTATTTTACTTCTGCTTCCAAGTCTGCTTCTACATCTACTGCAGTATTTTAAAATTAAAAGAAGAACAGAGAAATATTTTCCCTTTATAAACTCCCTTCTTCAACCTTCTCCTGACTGTATTCAAAACCCTATAAAGGAATCATCTTCATATTACTTACACACTTCTCCTAAAATTTTCTTGTTGATTCCACCCACAATGAAAATGTATTTCTGTCTTGACTGGTTTGGGGGGAACTGAATCAATGACTACAGAAGTAAACGAAGTCTGCTTTCTCTTTCATCTCTATCAGTGCTTCCTTCATTGACAACCGTGAGATGCTGTATTTCCTATCTTAGCTGAGTTTCTCTTCTCCATTTGGCATGATTATTCCTTCAACAGTTTTTTTCCTTACTTCTACCTCTGAAAAACAGTATTTTTTCCATGCTCTCCAGTTCTCTTTTTGTTCTCTCATTCACTTTCTTCTTCTAAATTATTGTTTCTCTTGAGATATTTCAGCTGTTCTGCTACCATTTTAAAATCAACTTTTAAAGTATTGAAAATTTCTCCTACGTTCTTCTCTGCTTCCTAATTTTTAATTAAGCACTGAAAATTACACTGTGTTTATGTTTTAAAATTATCTGTTGCTTTTATTCTGCTGTACCACAGTCCTGCTTTTTGTCATTTTTTTTCATTACTATTTTAAACAGTTCTTTTTTCATATAAATTAGAACCACTACTTTCAGTGCCAGGTCTGGTATTGTCTCTGACATTTTATGCAATTAAGCAACATGAGAAAGTAACACCCCTTCTTGATACGATACTACATGAGAAATGTAGTATGATACAACATGAGAAAGTAACACCCCTTCTTGATATGATACAGAAATGATACTATTTCTGTACTACAAGTTCCTTAAATGGCTCTTGGTCTTGCCCTCGCCAAATTTAGGTCTTGCTCCAGCCTGGCACTTTTGCTCCTACACACTTTATTTCCCATAATCCACCTCTATTTTATGTCATTATTCTTGCACTTTGCCTTAAATGCTCAGCTTTGCCTACAAAATCTACTATGTTCAAAACTCTCCAGTTTGCCATAAGAGTTTGCGCCTCTTTTCTTTACACATCTTTCCACCAGCAACTTTTTTGCTTTTTTCTAAGCAACAACATCAACACTACCTCAGTTCCTAGCTTTCTTTATACTGTGCTAGACTACAAGACTAAATGAAAGGATTAGGACCTGGTTAGAATATTGTGTAAACACAGCATATACATGATTTTAAATTATTTTTTTTTTAAATCTTCAAATCTCTATTTATCAGAGACATTAAGATCTGTTTTATGAAAGAAATATTTTTAGCATGTAACATAGGTTTCTGTTTTTACAGTAAATTAACAGCTTGACTAAGTGCTGGGAATCCATCAGTAACAGGATGGATTTGGAAACCATTTTGGAAACATTTAAAGAATCTCAAGCAGATATCCACGACATTAACTATTACTACTCATCATCTCAACTACAAGAATGAAAGATTTCAGTGCTCCCTGTGATAATTCAGTGCAAAAGTCACCAGGATGATTTGGCTTAAACCAATTTCAGCACCAGTTCAAACTCAGACAGCTGATTTAGTCTGCTGGGCACACTCTACCACACATCCATCCATATGGTGTTCAGCCCCTCCAGCTCCAGTTCCATCAGTGAAAAGAGTGCAACTATGAGAAAGACAAACTGCTCAGGGCAGAACTATAAGGGATAATTTGAAAATATCCCTAAAAATAAATAAACTAAGTACCTGCAGTCATTAGTGTAGGCCAAACTTACCTAACACTGTGACAATTCATTTTACATAAAAATTACTTGTTCTGTGGGTTTTTTTGTAATATGTTACTTCAACTTTAAATATGTTAGCCTACCTTGCCCTGGCAACTATTGACACAGCCTTTAGCAGTGACACTCTTAATGACACACTTTGTTCCCACAGGTATGTCGTCATGCTTCAATGTTAATCCACTAGAAAAATATATAGAAAACACAACAGAATAAATTTAAAAACAAATACGGTGTTTCACTATACAAGATACTTTCAGATACTCTTATGGAAATAAAAGCAAAAATGCCATCTAATTTATGTGAAAGAAATCCCGTATATCACTGAGACAACCCCCAAAGTATTACTATATTATTGTCACATGAAGAAAGGACAAAAAAAGGAGAGATGGTTGAATTACCTAGCTTCAAGAATTGGTCTCATGCGAGATGACAAGTGTGTTGCATGACCAAATTCATCCTGCAATTCCAAAGGAATACTAAAAGGTACTCCAATTCGAAAAGGAAGCTCCAAAAGACCAACCGAAAATTTCTCTGGTTTGCCCTCTAAGAGAAAAGAATAACACATATTTAGAAAGAATTATGTGTGCTCACTGGATTTTTCTTGATTAAGGCTGCAATTAAGTCAAGTGGTTTGCAGCTGCAAAGTAAACAGGCTGTTCAGAATATGCAACCAAAGTTATTGTTTACTGATTGATAGTCTTTTTTTAACTTACACTAACATAAAACAATAGTTAAAACATAACAGCATAAGAAAAATAACAGGACAGTATTTAGAACATCACTACAGCACCTGAAACTGGACAAGTTCCTTGCAGACAGCTTTTTTTAAACATTTAAGTGCTTTAATTATAGTAAAATAAAATCATTTATGCAGCAAAACATTTTTGTTCTACAACTACCCCAAATATGAGAGATAAAGATGAGTAATAATGTGTATTAGAAAAAGAAATGTGAGTGCATCCTCCCTGTGAAATCTGGCCCCATTAGACTGCCTCCAATTAGGCCCTAATAAATGAGATCAAGCAGAATGGTAACAAATGGGAGATTGTGAATCAGAGTCATGTTTTGTGGAATTGAACTGTCTTGACCAACCGGCCTTTAAAATAAAGAAGCAATGCACTGCTGAACTAAACAGTAAATATATGTCCTATGAAATAATTTTGAACTCAAATTAACAACTACTTTCACTACCCATGGGTGTCATTACCAAAGAGATTCCTTTGCACAAGAGATGACACCTTGTACTGGCCAAAATTATTTACTGGTTATGACAAGAAAAACACCTCAATCTTACAGTGCCTACAGTTTTACTTACAAGTGAATATAAAACTGTAAAATGATTTGAGAAAATAACAGGAAAATAACCACCTAAAAAAAACTTAGGAAATTCAGTTTTAACCAGCATTTATGATGATTTTTTAGTTTATCAAGAAGAACTATAAATAGAGAAATAAAATATTTTGTTCCTCAGACAAAAATGCTGCTTTTTCAGTTTAGATTGTTTTTTTTTTTTTTATTCTCAGAATCTACATACATAAAAGGTCACACAAATATTAATATTTTGGAATAACGAGTGTGAAGATTTATGGCTGCCTTTGAGACAACACAAAACATTGCAACAATAAAGACTTGAAATATTCAATTTTCAAGACTCCACATATTAAAAATGTTGAATAAAAAAGCAGCAATACATAGCAAAAGTTGCTTTTGGTATCCCTTGTGTTAAAAGATTCAAACTATTAGTTAATTAGATTTTTTCAAGTTTATATTCCTTTCCAAGGCGATTCATTTCAATTGTTATGGCTCAGGAATCTTCAATTGAATGCTTCTATACAGGGGAAAGCCACACTACTACTGAGAAAAATTTTTAAAATGCAAAATACAACTTTGTAACTTTAAAGATTCTCTTTTCATTTTGATAAAGAGATAAAGGAGCGGACACAGTTCATTTTTGTTCAGAGATTTTTTTTTTCTTTTCTTGGAAATATCTTGAGACTTCAATGACAAGTTTTCAGACATATGTTTAGATAGTTACTTTTCTCAAGCAGTGCCAAACATTTTTTTCCTGTATTATCATACAAAAATACCTCTTTCTACTGTGCCAATAAGAAAAAGATTTTAGAAGAATATGATACAAAGAACTCTTTTCTGCCTAAAGGGTTTGCATTCAGAGCCTCTTCTGAAGAAGAGGAAGAAATAGGAGGCTACTGGAAACAGTGATTTTTTTTCTTGATCTTCTGAAAACAGATGTTAGCTTTATCTACCAAAATTGTAATGAAAATATCCATTTTAAACACTAGGGAATTAGTACTTTTTTTACCTTCCTCTTTCCCCACCCTCTTGTAGATTCACAGAATGGTTGAGGTTGGAAGGGGTTTCTGGAGGTCCTCTGGCTCAAGCCAGAGGCTTGTGACCCTGGTTCAAGCAGGGCCACCCTAGAGCAAATTGCCTAGGAACATGTCCAGACAGCTTTTGAATATCCCAGAGCATGCACACTCCACAACATATTGGGCAACTTGTCCAGCACTAGGTCACCCTCACAGTGAAAAAATAACCACAGAGAGTGGTTATCAGTGGCATGAAGTCTTGTTGGAAGGCAGTTAAGTAGGGGTTACCCCCGGGGTCAATACCGGGTTTGATTCTGTTTCACATCTTCACTGATGATCTGGATGATGGGGTAGATTGTACCTTCAGCAAGTTTGCTGATGATACAAAACTGGGAAGAATGGCTGATAAACCTGAGAGTTGTGCTGCCATCCAGAGGGACCTCAACAGACTGCAGAAATGGGCTGTCAGAAACCTCATGAAATTCAGCAAGAACAGCCCCCAAGCTGTCAACCAAGTGCCTCGAAAGCAGCTTTGTGGAAGATGGCCTGGGGTCCTGGTGGATAACAGAGTGCACACAAGCCAACAATGTCCTCTTGCTGCAAAAGGAGCAATAACCTTCTTGGGCTGTGTTAGAAGTGTTGCCAGCAGGTGGAGGGAGGTGATCCTTCCTCTCTACTCAGCATATGTGAGGCAACACCTGGAGTACTGCTTCCAGTTCTGGGCATATTACCTTACAACACAGAAGCATGGACATACTGGAGAGAGTCCAGCAAAAGGCCATGAAGATGATGAAGGGACTGGAGGGTGGTGATGTACTGGAATAATTTTCCCAGAAAAGCTGTTGTTGCCCCATTCCAGGAAGTGTTCTTGGCCAGGTAGGATGGGGCTTTGAGCAACCTGGTCTAGTGGAAGGTGTCCCTGCCCATGGCAGGAGGGTTAGAACTAGATGATCTTTAGGGTCCCTTCCAACACAAACCATTCTGTGATTCTGTGATCTCTCATATGAAGAAAGGCTGGGAGAGCTGGGGCTGCTCTGCCTGGAGAAGAGAAGATTCATGGGGATCTTATCAATGTCTGTAAATAACTGAAGGGAGAGTGTAAAGAAAGTGGAGGCAGACTCTTTCCCATGACAGAGGACAAGAGGCAATGGGCACACACTAAAACACAGGAGGTTGTCCTGTATGTGCTGTGTGATGGAACTCAGGATGATCTGCTCCATGACAACTGCTGGCATTGAGGTCATGCTGATGGGCCTGTAGTTCCCTGGATCCTCCTTCCAGCCCTTCTTGCAGATGGGCATCACATTTGTTCACCTCCAGACAACTGGGACCACCCTGGTCAGCCAGGACTGCTGGCAAATGATGGAAAGGGCTCAGTGAGCACTTCCACCAGCTCCCTCAGTACCTTTGGAAGGACCCCATCTGGCCCTATAGACTTGTGTGTTTCTAATGGTATTGCTGACCATTTGCCCCCTTGGATTATTCATTCTGCTCCTTGTCCCTGTCTTCCAGCTCAGGGGGATGGGTACTTGGAGAACAATTGGTCTTATTATTAAAGACTGAGGCAAAGAAAGCATTAAGAACCTTATCCTTTTCCACTCTGCTTCCCTTCCACATCCATAAAGATGGAGATTCTCCTTAGCCCTCATTAGCTTTCCTAATGTATTTATAGAACACTTTTTGTTGTCTTTTACAACAGTAGCCAGATTAAGCTCTAATTGGGCTTTGGTTTTACTAATTTTCTCCCTGCATAACCTCATGACATCCTTGTAGTCCTCCTGAGTTGCCTGTCCCCTCTTCCAAAGGCCATAAACTCTCTTTTTTTTTCACCTGAGTTCCAGCCAATGCTCTCTGTTCAGCCAGGTTGGTCTTCCCTGCCAGTTTGTCTTTCAGCACACGGGGACAGCCTGCTCCTCTGGCTTTAAGATTTCCTTCTGGAAGAATGTCCAGCCTTCATGGACTCCTTTGCCCTTCAGGACTGCCTCCCAAGGGATTCTGTCAACCAGTCTCCTAAACAGGTCAAAGTCTGCCCTCTGGAAATCCAACGTGGCAGTTCTGTTAACCATCCTCCTTACTTCTTCAAGAATAGAAAACTATAATTTTGTATACATTTGATCAATGTGCCCAAGACCAAGCCAGCTTCTGACCATCACGTAACCCACCAGTCCTTTTCTGTTCACAAACAGTAAGTCCAGTGGGGTGCCCTCCCTGGTTGGCTCCCTCACCAGCTGTGTCAGTAAGTTATGTTCCACACAGTTATGTTCCACACACTCCAGGAATCTTTTAGAGTGTTTCCTCTCTGCTGTATTTCCTGCAGATATCTGCTTAGCTGAAGCCACCCAGGAGAACAAGGGCTAGTGACTGTTATACTTCTCCCAGCTGCTTATATATTTCACCACCTGTTCATCCTGGTTAAGTGGTCTTTAACACAGACTCCCACTACAACATCTGCCTTGTTGGCCTTCCCCCCACTTCTTACACAAACACTCAACCCTACTGTCACCATCATCAAGCTCTAGAAAGTCAAAACATTCCCAGGCTACCCCACCACTTCTTCTTTGCCTATCCTTTCTGAAGGGGAACATAAATATAAATAGCCATGGAGGAAAGGCTTATAAACAGAAAGTAACCAACTACTAACAGATAAACGCAGACAAATAAATCAGGAAATGAAATCATCTTAGAGGGTAAGAGATACAGGACTAGTAAAACCATACCAAAACCACGCTGTAACTGTACATTGTGTGTCTTACAGTCTTCAACAGTGTCATTAAAAATGAAATTTATGAATTTTTGGGGGAAGATAAGATCTATACAGACTACTGTAGGCCACATACATATACACATACCAGAGTGTAAGGCAAGATAGATTAACATTAAACATATTTAACAGTATTATTTTTATTCTGGTATTCTAGTTAAGTATTTCACGACGGCTAACCCAAAGAGACAGACTCAATACAATCAAATGAGAATTTAGTTTTGCACAGGATTCTTCCCTCAATTAAAAAAACCAAGAAGACTTCAATCTCAACATGCATATTTCAAATGTATAACCTGTTTCTTTAATGAGTTTCTGTGGTTTATGCATGAAAGTTGGCATAATAAATACTAGTTTTATGAAAGAATATTTATGTCCATGGCATGAGGAAAAAGAGTGATTCTAATTAAGTAGAAGTTTCTTTTTCTAAGTACGTTTGGGAAAGTTCACATTAGGGAGCTTTAGATTGCATCAAAACTTTTTTTTTTTGTAAAATTGACTGTACAGCAGAGCCAACACACTACAGGTCAGATCAAAACCTATTAGGAAAAACTTTTTTTCCCTGGAAATGCTTCATATTTGACATGCACATGCTACTTTTCAGTGCTGAAAATTACCTCTCAACTAAAACATGAATAATTTTGATATACAATGAATCAAGTAGAAACAGCAACAGTAGAAGAAAATAAGATTGGAATTCTTACCTATAATAGTAAATTTAAATACTTTAGATGGTAGAGGCCTCCCTGCATAAGTGTCTGCATTACTTTCATTCAATACTACTTGCAGTTTCAAGGAGTAGTTCCCAAGTTTCTGAAGATTTTCTAAACAAAGATAAAAATACACTTAGAAAGAAAATATCCCCTCTCCAACCAAAAAACAAAACCAAGCAACCAAACAAAAACCAAACCTCAAGATACTGAATATGCAAACTTACCCATTTTCTTAAACCAGTATGGCCATTTGCCTCCATGCTGACTGATATGGGAAATTATTTCTTTATTCTCAGTAGGTGCTGCAAAACAAACACTTAGCTACCAGTATTTAAATTTTACACCATAAGTTTGCATTTTTTTTAAGCATTACTATCACTTGTTATTACTATCACTTCTAGATCTACTAAATATCAATTCAGCTCCCCAATTAAACACATTGATCACAGCTAATCCTATTTTAATTAAAAATTGCTAGCCTCAGACAGATGACATAAAGTAGCAGCCTTTCATTTGGTAACCCTTCATGTTCCTGCTTCACCTAGTCACTCCAGCTTTCTCTTTCCCTCAACTCAAACCCACTTTAATTTTTGATATACAATGAATCAAACAGAAACATTAACAGTAGAAGAAAATAGGATTGAAATTCTTATCTATAATAGTAAATTTAAACACTTTAGATGGTAGAGGTCTTCCTGCGTAAGTGTCTGCATTACTTTCATTACCATAAAGTCATAATTAAAGGTCAACCTAACCTTATTTTATGGCCAAAACTTTCAAGTCCCACTTCATCATAGCCCAGATAAAAACATTCCTCATATCCCAGATGTCTTTCCAGCCCTTTCTTCCCCGCACAAAGTGTTCCTAACTCAGCTCAGACAAGTAGTTTCTCATAGTCTAGTCCTCCTACTATCCCACCCTTTCCTTTGGCAGCTGTTTCAACGCCCATCAGACCCCTCTACTTTATCATTCTCTCAACCCTAATTCAAACTCCAATTTTGAACTAAATCTTGTATAATAAGACTCTACTAACAGATGAGGTATGAAGTTTCTTGTAACTCATCTCTGTGTGTGTACTCAGTCCACAGTACATTCTGCCAAGTATTCCATTCATTGAAAGAGAAACATTTTGTACACTGTGTTTGCTGTTGGCCTTCATACGGTTGTAACCATGTTACTCTTATTTGTACAATTAGGGGTTTGAGTTTGACAGGTATGCCATGCCCAAATCCGCACTTAGAGGATTTACTCATTGTTCTGGTGAAGAACAGGGGAACTACCCTAGTGATACCTCAACTGACTAGAGAAAAAAGACAGGAAGCAGTAGAAACAGTTTTAAGCACAAATTTTCATCAATGAATCAAGTGGTCAGGAGACACAATAGGTCTGAAGGCAGACTTTTCAGTGATCAGAAGCAAAGGGGTTTATTTCTCCTAGGAACAGCACTGACAAAATAGGATAATAGAAACACCATGTCTCTCTCAAGTCCATACGTCCTGAACTCAGGATGGTGTATCTCAGTTAAGGTGGCATAACACTGATTTGTCATGCCGATAATCTGTAATACATGAACACCTTTTTTTTAATTCCAATCTCTTTATCCCCCAGCACACTACACTGGACAGTGGTCATGCACAGCAGACAGCTCCCAAATAATGAGTGCCATTAAAATATGATGTGTATTCTTATGACATGTATACTGAACTGAAGCTAAGATACTTCTATTTGGTTTTCTTTCACATGTATCACAATAATAATCTCAGTGCTTCAGAAAGGTATTTTTTACAACTCTAAAATGATAAAGGAATTGGATCTTCCTATCATATATGGAAATAAACAAGGTAAAAAAGATTTTAACTTTCTATAAATTTCAAATACATTTGACATGGTAGAATTGGAGTTTTCAGAGAATTTAGTGTTCTAATATGTGTTCAACACAAAACTGAGTAATTTCAGCTGCCTTGAACAGAATGCAATTCTTCAGCAATGCAATGTCAGAATATCAAGTGAAGCACCCACAAATGGAAACCACAAAACAGTAAATCACTAGATTTATACTTATTATATGTATATACACAAAGAAACACATTATCCATTATGCATTTATAAAATAATAAAGACAATTAAATATACTGAAATACTTACAATGTAAAATAACCTTGAGTTCAACGAGAAGTTTCTTTGAACCTCCATGGCTTGTACCTGGAAGTTTTTGCATTGGTTCTCCTTTTTTATTCAAAATTTCTATTCTTAACGCTCCTATATTTAAAAGGAAAAATAATGGACTTTTAAAATATACTGTGGATTATAAGTGATAAGAGATTGCTGTATGCTTCCTTTTTTAACAAGAGTGCATAATACATTTTTTAATTGGCATTTAATGTTTTGTTATTTAGAAGAAAAAAAATATACCTATTGGTGTACCAGCAAATCTTGTTTCATTTGGTAATAACTCATCTCCTTCAGGCCATGTTACCGATAATCTGTCAGGAAGTCTAATAAAAAAGAAAGGATGAACAGCTTTTCAGTGATATAACGAAAGGGTAATTTATCTTTAGTTGAATATACAGAAAGCTATTTTGGGGTAGAAAAAAAACCCCAAACCCTGAACTATTTCTTCTTGGTTTATAATTTTGTTTCTACTGAAACAGCTGACTGCTGTCCCATTTGGGAATAAAACTGAACTTCTTTTTGTTGCTGAAGAAATACTAAAAAAATGTAATTAGAAACTCCACAATTATATAATTACAACTCAGTGCTTACCTTGCCATTTCATCCTCTATGTATTTTTTAACGACTTTCTCAGACACTGTTCTGTCAAGTTTTGAGATTGGAATAATTCTCATTTCACCATATAACGCCTGTGGTTCCTGAAATAAAAATTCAGTGCAGTTATAAACGGCCAGATTACAGTATGTCAGAGAAGACCAAGGGACTAGACAAGTTGACATAGACATAATGCAACAAGCTAATAAATACTACCTGCAGACAGCACAAGACACTGTTCTAAAATTTGCTGAAATCACAACGGTTAAGAATGGTTGCAAACATACTATTGATACCAACTGTGATACTCTATTTGATATGCAAATTTAAATGAATTAGATTGTTGACACTGGATAATAATTTTAATATATTTATATTAAAACTACAGTAACTAGTTTGATTATTTCTAGATTGCTGAATCTCAAAAACCACATAATTTTCAACAGTTTAAAAGTAATTTAAATAAATCTGACACAGGATTTTGTTTAAAGATTGCATAGGTAAATTAGGTGTGTGAATCCCTTCTATATTTGTCTTACCAAAGCAATTTGAACCTCTCCTCCAGTGGCAAATATATCTCCATCATGGTCTCCATACAAAAAAAATTTCTCGATACTTCCATAGAATATTGGATGAGTCTTAATACTTTTCACCTGCAATGAGAAGACAACAATTAATGGCAATGCATTACTTCTGCATCAAATACATAGTATCTGCCTTTTAGAGGGTTCAAATCACCTATGACAAAACAAACAAAACCCCAACATCAGTGAGCAACTAACTTACCAGCTGTCCGGTTTTGTATATTTTTCCATCCCACTCTATTGCAGCATACATTGTCCAAGGGCTCTGCAATCTTTTGGATGGTATATCAGTACGTACAGTTATTCCTTTAAAAACTGTGAATTTTATCTGTTTGTCATATTTTTCATGACAGTCTTTGAGCCACAAAGCAAATTCTCTGTCAATTTTCATTCGCTGCTCCTATGAAGAGATTACAAAAGAAATACATATTAGCAATGTATTAAAAAATTTAAATCTGACCACTTCAGAAGCCGGAACAATTTTAAGAGTACAGAGATACTGTACTCAAACATAAAAAAACCCCAACAAAACCAAACCCCAAGGATTCTTCATCTTGAAAACGTGACAAAATTCTAGGAAAGTTACACTTCAAGCCAAAGAAAAGTGCTTCCCCCAGCAGCCATATTCCTCCATGAAGGTGTCTTTCTACAAAAACTGTCATATAACATCTAAACAAAGTAACTGAGAAAATAGAGGGAAAAATACTGAGTCTTGTTTTCTCAGATTTAAAAATTCAGCCTTATTACTCACTAAAACCGAGATATATCTGCTACAAAGTCCTGCAAAAATGCACAAGGTGAATGTTATTTAGAACCAGGCAATATTCAGTGATATGAGCAAATTAGCAGTGAGCAAAGGTTTCTGTATCAAGTGCATTAAACTTTATCAAGAAGAAATACTTAACATAATGCAACTATTACCTGTCCATTGAAGACTCTCGTGAACAGAGTATTTTTATCTTTTAGCTTCAGCTCCAGATCCATGAAAGTGAGTTTGTTTGTGCTGACCTGGAACTTATCATTGGTAAACAATGCACCAGAAATTCTGTAGTAGCATTCGACTGGTGCCAATCCTCTCTTCTTTGGAGGAGCACACCAGTCAAAACTGAAACAAAAGGAGAAAGACATTAAAATCCGCCTTTATAAAGAGAGGTTTACATTATGGAAACAGACTGGTTTACATTGTAGAAACAGATTACCACTTACTCTTCCACAGTTGTGTATGGTATTAATCTACCATTCCAAAAACATTCAAAAATAGGTCTTTTTCCTCTGGCACCTTTTTCTACTATAAAGCAGTCATCATCATCATCATCGTTTAATCCTTGATTTAAACAAAAAAAAAAACAAACAACACAGTCTTCTCGCATAAATTCATTAAAAAAACTAATATAAAAAACCAGTGTAGACTAAATTAAGTTGAACACAGCAGCAGTGCACGTGATATCAAGCTAGTTATATACAACATAAGGAATTTTTTTCATATTTTAAATATACCAAGCAGAAAAACTAGGCAAGCTAAGTAAAAATTTTAAATAGGAGTTAAATATTACCAAATCTACCAAATTTGAAAGTTTTGAATTTGAATAAGTATTATTTTTCCTCTTAGTTTCAACTGATGCTCTTCTAATATCATAAAATCTCTTCACAATTAAGCTCAAGATTTTGTAAAAAAAATAAATAAATATACCAACACAGTATATTTTAAACCCCTCAGCATTTGAAAACTCATCACGACTGAATAAACTAATTTTAAATTAAGGACTTCAGACTACATGTTGTCCTTTGCAGTATTCTGCTATCAGAATCTTTTGAATCTAACTGCTGGTATTTTATTAGTTTCTTGGAGCAAAGATCTAAGAGTCAGGAAGATGGAAAGTTTCAATCTGACTACAGTCCATGAGAGTTTATAGTTTGAAATCAGACAGTGTTATGCCAAAGATCAGGTTTACACAAACAAGTAACCACAACAGCCAATTTATTCACAGGATCTGTTCATCCAAAGAATGTGAACTTTTTTGTTCTGACACAACTTAAATCAGGTAATAATTTGCATTTCAATTTCAATTGTTTTAGTTTTTATTTCATTTAAACATTTAGAGTAGTGGGATTGTCTATGATAGGACTGACAAGTAGCAAAACATTTCACTCACTTGACGGATAGCATGGATCATCGGGGTATGTTTCTTTATCGTACAGGAAAGGATGATATCGGATGATTCCTTCCACTATACCTTCTTCTTCAACATGTGCCTTAAACTCAAAACTATCTGCTGCGGTATTTATGTACAATGTCTGCATGTCATCTTTGATCTCCCTCAGATTGACAATCTTTGGTACTTTTCCTTTTTCGAACATTGAAATCTGGAAGAAAACAAGTTGATTTTTCCTTAGATCAGAAGACAAAGTAATTAGCATTTTGACACTTGACTGTGAGCAAATGAATTAGTTCCTATGCTGCAACGATAAATAGTTTAGCTTTAAAAAAATTAAATTACATACACATCTTAAAATGCTGTAGTTCAAAATGCATGAATAAAGAGAAACAGGCACAATATGAAATAAACTGCCATTAAAGAAGACTTTTGACTAATATGTATAAAACCTCTTACCTGAATGTCGATGTTGTTGAAAGGGCTTATGTCTTTTGTTACAGCATTAGTTTCATTTCCTTTTGGTCCATGAATATAGTAGTGATAGATATGTCTGAAATACATTTCAAAAAAAAATATCCAAAACCAGAAAGTGAAATTAAGAAATTGCACATTATAATTTAAAAAAAAATCTATATAAGCTCATATTTCTATTAAAATATCCAATTTTTGGATAAAATAGTTGGAAACAAATTGGAAAAAGATGCATAAGTGAAAAAAACCCCTATGATTGTTACATGGCTACCAGATCTTTTACATCAAAGCACAAACTAAAAAACTACTGTAAATTGTTCTGTACTCTGGAGATGAGAAAGAACTACAGACAAAGCTTTCCCCACTTTGTTTCTGATACCAGTTTTGTATCAATCATCTAATAGCAATAGAAACATTTAACCAACAATCACTATCCTTAATTTATTTACAAATATTTGAATATAGGCAAGAGTCATGGATGTGCTCAATTCTTCTATTTCTAAACAGTATTTTCTAATGGGCATTTTTGCTCATTTAAGAAACTTCAAAAGCACGGTCAGGTAGACTAATTCATTTCATAGATACGAAGCCTGAGAAAACTGAGGAACTTAACTGCATTTACTTCAACTTCTCAGCAAGCTAGCTAGTTCTTTCAACTTCAAAGACTGAATCCTTAAACCTTAGGGTGGTGGCATGCACAAAAATGAGATTATACGAATCAATGGGACTGAATGCACCTGCAAGCGCTTTGCTTCTGACATCCACTACACTAAATGTGCCCCAAGGAGAAATCTTGCTTCCCAGCAAAAAGCTCCTCATGGCCTCATTGCTTAGGACTTTACAGTATGTCCAAATTGCTTAGCATTTTGTCTGCTTTTTCTCCAGACTTCAAAAGGTGCTCTCATGGCCTTAAGACATAGTTATTTTAGGGGTTTGTCTCCACTTCAAAGCATCCAAAACAATGAGGGCTCTGCTGTAGCCCATTAATGTAGAATGAAACATGTGGCAAAAGGCATGGCAGAAGGGTATGTGGAGGTGTTTGAGGGAAAAAAGGCCATTACAGTTGACAGTGATGCACCAGAAAGCTAAATCTGATTAGTTTTACTGTAACAGCTACAGGGCATATACTTGAATAATTGCACCGGGTCCATTTCAGATGGAGGCAGCTCTTTCATTTCAAGACATGGCTGGAAAGAACTAATGCACATAACCCACATTGGATAATTATGTATCAATTATCAAGTCACATTAAAACTGATGCTTGTAAACATCTTTGATTTAGGGGGCCACATTCAGTTGTTCTAGCTTCTGTAAAATCAGTTAAATAGGAAAACTAATTGTAGCATCAACAAAGGATGTATGAACAGCTTTAACAGGAAGAAGGCCAATGGCTGAGAACAAAAAGGAAGTAATTCATAATTAGCTGACTTTGTTAGTAGTCCACTTTTAACTAAAATCTTTCAAATCATCAACTTACGCCAGCTGCCTCGTCCAAAGGTGAAAGTAGTTTTTCAAGTACTGCATGTGATCTGGTTGTACACCTGTAATGACAACTGCTGTAAAACTCTCTTTATCCCTTTCTTCTAATATTAGATTATGAAGAAATCTTTCATCATCACTTGTGATGTGAGTAGAGTCAGATGGCTACAAAAAGAGTAAAATAATAAAAGCAGGAATGTAAACTGAATTTCTGAACTCCCATCAGCTTTGAAAGAGATTAAAAAACATAACAGGAAAGTAAAACAGAACATATGATGCTAAATATCAAAAAAGATTAAAGCTTAAAATAAAAGTTTCCAAACTAAAGTCAACAAGCTGAGAATGTGACATCCCTGATCCAGTTAATTTTCAACTCACTTACATCACAGCATTTGAAGTGTTCAGCCTAGAAATGGATTTAATCATGTTTAATGTGACACTGTGGGATATCCATGTTCTCATTCATCAAATGGGACTATTGTGTGTATAACACATGAAGTCTTTTTTAGGAAAACAAGCCAGAAAAAAATTATTTGCTTTTAAAGCAGGTTGCTTTCTATAACAAAAACTGAAGTGGAAGAAACACACTTTTGCTGTAAAAAGGAAATGGTGAATTTCCAGATGAAATATCCAGTAGTATCTCACAGAAACAGAAATTCTCAGTTATGGAAGCTACTAGTTATCTTTTCCTGGATGGATGCACTTTACTCTTAAGACAGGTTTCTAAGCTGCACAAAATCACAGTGGTTGATGTCATGCTTCATGCTGGACCAATGGATACTCCTTTACATTTGCTACATACAGAAAAGAAGCTATCTTTAAAACAAAGATTGAGATCTTTATAGTCATTGCAAACAATTGGTACAGCTGAGAAGATAAGCTGTAGCAAATACAGCTTCATGCCTCATTTTGCAGGAAAGCAGGCAAAACCCACATCACTAAGTCATGAAAGGAGACATGTCTTACCTGCCCATAGGTGGTGAAATAATTAATCAAGGGTGTTCCATTAAGACTTACTTTTCTCAGGGATTTAAAGACCTCTCCTTAACCAAGAGAATAAACTACCATGGCACTTTCTCCTACATTCTTAGCATCCATCTCAACTAGAAAAGTACTATTTACTTATTGGCAATATTAAATGGTCCAGGGAAGTGAGTGCAGTAAAGATAGGTGCCTATTATCCCTTGAGAGAAGATGATCAGCTGAGGCGCCATCAACGCCACTTCTCTTCAGTGTTCTGGCCTTGTTCTACAGTGCCTTATATTTGATATTGATTACATCTTGATTTCTTTGCAAAAGTAACTTCCTTTACCAACTCAATGCCTCAAAGACTCAATTATTCTTCTCACCCTAGTAATCCATTACAACTTCTATTTCTGCCACAGCATTCTCTTGCTCACCTGTGTGCAGCGCAGATCATTTTTCATGTCATTGAAGAGACAAATTCACACACTTTATTTCACATTGCTATAATTAACTGGCCTAGGTATTTCAATGATTGGCAAAAAAATTCCTAAACCTGAGTTATCTATCCATTACCTTCATATCTCATTTCTATTACTTGAGTTCTTCACATCATGTCTTCCCTCTTGGATAGTTACAAGTTATTTTTTTCCTCTAATAGAACTTTACTTACATTTTTTAACTGTGTCAACTTTAATTTTATATTATCACCACAACTTTTCCAACAGTTGATTGCACCACCTTCTTGTACCACTTTTAGTAGTATCTACACACCTCATTCAGCTACTTTCCTCCAACTTACACCTTTTTAATATTAAATGGGAGGGAAAGCATTTGTGTCCTCTAAAAAAAGCTGATTTTGTCTGCTTTTATTTTCAAAATAAAATAAAAGCAGACTATTTTATTTACAAAAATAGTGTCTATTTTTGTGACTCTACCTTCTCAACAATATTGTACAGAGATTAAAAACAAAACCCTGACAATTCATTTTTTGTTGCAAGTCACTGACCCAAGATTGGCACGATAAAAACCTTATTTATCTCCTGTTCCTTTCTCAACCATATAAAGGGCCAAGAACACTGATATATCCCATTTTATATGGGCTTAAGGTCTGACTACCTTGTCACACACAGCACCCACTCTGCCTCCCATCTGCACCCTTAGCTATATTCTTTGCCTTTACCACCTTGCTCAAAAATATCCGAAGAACAGTTCTTTTCAGTCTTCCTCTTTATCTTACAGTTTTTTTGCTCAAGCTTTTCCTCTTCATGAAAAGCATCAGGACAGTTCATCTTAATTTTCAGCTGAATAGTTCGCTTATTTTACAAAACAATGAATATTTGTAAAACCACTGGGTTTTGTTGATCTGGCTCGACTTCTCTCCCAGAAGAAGTTAGTTCTTCTACAAATTTCTACATATGCAATTTGTTTCCCTAATTTATTCATTGCTATTTCAAAGAACACACATTTTCTTTATGTTTCATACATAACAAAAAAATTGCTGTGCTTAGAAAAGTATTTTTAAATATATAGCATTTCTGTCCCTTAATTTTAACTGACAAGAGAAAACAGAATCACGTAGAAATAAAGCCTTATGATACAGTGTCTTCAAGTTTCCCATTACTTCATTTTACACTCCAGAGTGAAAATGATTCAATAAGATGAAGATATCCCCAGATGAGTATTACATAAATATTATACAGTTAAATCACGTTAACCTGGGAAAGGTTTTCAATTAAAAAGGAGAAAGTATTATGGCTATTTACCTTTCTGTTTCGAATGAAACCAGTATATATTGCTTCTTTGTGTTTCTCCTTCTTTTCAAAATCCTCTTTAGAAAGGACAAGTTCATGAACATCCTGAGATTCTGCAGGTTTGCTTATCATCTGATTTTATTAAAGAAACAGCATTTAAAATCAAAATTAGACTTAAAATGAACATAATAAAATAGTTTAATGCTGTGATTAAAAGCTAGGAAATAACAATCTGATTATGTAAAAATGTTTTAAAATAAAGACTGACATTTACTTACTCTGGCAGACTGTCCAACGAAGAACACTGCTTGTTTGCCTCCAACTCCAAAATAAGAGATATCACTGTTTAAACTACGAGGCACTGGCAAAGGGCGTACATATCCTGAATGATCACTGAGAAAAAAAGTGCCCTTAATAAATTTTCTCAAGACAAAAGTAATGTAAAAAAACAATGAAACTTCTGATCTTAATAGCTTATATTAAATTCTTACTGCTTTCACCTTGTTAAAAATTCCTCAAATTTAGACCTATTAAAACTGTAATATTGTACGTGCCTAAGATTCCTGATGTATTCTTTCTGAAAGAATGATGACCAAGTAAGTATTTTCCTAAGTCCTCTTATAAAACATTTCTGTCCCTTCTCACAAACCAAATCTTATTCAAATGAAAATGCTTAGAAAGAAAGCCTGACCTTTCTGACAGCATCCTTTCATAAAAATACTTTTAAGTCAAAATGGGAAATAATGCCAACCAACTATTAAATGCAGGCTTGGAAAGACAGCATATGCTATCAGTAACTAAATTCCATGTCTCTTAAGTCAGCCTGAACAGTCTTACGTAGTTTAGGACAAACATCTATTTTTAAATAATAGCAGTCCCAAATGAAAAAAAGGTGTAGAGGTTAACCTGTTATAATCTGCACATACACTCCCTTTGAACGGTAGCAACCCACAGTTTAAATCTGTAGCTTTAGAATACTGTACTTTTCCACTGTTACTGAACTCACCTGCAGTAATTTCAAAAAGCAGTGAATTTCTTTACATATGACCGAGAACCACTTTTTATGCACTTATCTCCAGATGTTCGAAAGATTTTGCTATTCTATTTGGAGATGCTTCCAATGCAAAAAACCTTCCATTAACCATATTACCACTTTCCACTGCCCCATTACTTTTTACAGTAGTTACTCATATGAAAAGACTGAGGCTGTAATTCTCACCCTCACATTTACTATTCTATCTGAATATTCACACAGTACCATAAGATCAGAAGAGCAGTTTCATATTATGAAGCTTCTCTAACTTCCTAGCTACAAAAAGTATAAATCTAATTATGTAATCATAAAATGATGGGTTTTAGCTAAGTGTTGGTACAGAGCTATGTCTTAAAAGGGTATTTTGTGAACCTTCGCAGAGTTTGTTAATGGTTGCAGAAATATTTAAAACTTTCTAACCTTTCAAAGTCACCTTGTCTTGTAAACTTTGACAATCTATATACAGCCCAGTTGTTAAGCTGTTTAGAAGTCATTCCACTTCCATTATCGATCACAGCAACAGCCGGTTTTCCTTGGGAATCATCAAATAACTGAGGGGAAAAAAACCAACACAACTCAACAAGGAGCACCAATAAAAAGGGATAATGTGAACTACACCTAAAAAAGGTAGAATATCTCCATCTTACCAATTTTATCTGTATGCTCCGAATACCGGTATTTCGGGATGTAGCTGACAGAGAATTATCAATCAACTCAGCAAGGGCAAATGCTAAAGAAATTGAAGAAACATAACCCTATTAAATAGGAGTCAGAAAACAGACACCCACTTACTTTACCTATTCACTTACCCTTAAGGAACACATTTCCATCCAGACTCTCTAAAAAGAAAGTTTTATTTCCTGTAATTTACAAGGTTCTTCAGAATGCTACGGTGCCAGGTGCAAGCTATACTGGCCATACACTTCAGACACGTAAAAGAAATCCCTTGAGTATTAGTACCATGCATCAACACTGAAGCATGTGGCATTTTCCCTCAAGTTGTTTTTGAAGTACAAAAACAGTTCTACATTTTCTTCATTGCGAACAACAGCAGTTGAGCATCAGTTATGTGATCCATACTTACTATTCCATATCAAAGAATAATGGTCCTTCAGCAACATGGGAAATTGGTTAAGCATGGCCTTAGATATGTGGCAAATATGGAGCATCAGCTGCAGTACACTTACACAAACTCAAAACTCCTATTTGCTCTAACAGTCAATTCTAGTACAAAACAAACAAAAGTAGACAGTTTAACATATCTAGCTTGCAAATTTGAATCACTGGCCTGTTGCAGAATTTCACAAAATACCTCAGTATGGTCTCCAAGAGCAAGAAATGGTATCACATCAGAAAAAATATATACCAGTAATGTCATTACAGAAGCAGATCTAAAAATTATTCTGTTTGTAGTCTTGATCATTGTAATCTCTTTATGATTGCAGAATTATGACCACAAGAAGACTTATGACCACCACAACTTTTGGACCATTTTAAAAGCTTCTGTGGTAGCAATATGAATACATTCAGTGCACTCAGAGCACAAATCCTTTTTTTCTCTGTCACCTAATTGCAGAGTACAGACAAGTTCAAGAACTGACATAAATGCATATGAAAAGTTTCTCATAAACACCTGAAGCTTGTTCACTCTTTAAGAGAGAATGATGACTTAAAACCACTGTAGCAAGCTGTTTTAGCAATAACACGACAGAGGAAAATACTGCAAAAAGTTTACCATTCCTTCAGTAGTAGAAAAGTTTGCTTTACTACTAAAAAAAAAGAAAAATCAACCCACTTCAAAAAGACAACACTGACATTCCATCTTTAGATCACTTCTCTGATTCATCAATAAGTCTGTTTCAAGCTTTGGGGTAACTGTATTCACAGAGAGAAAACAGCAAATGTATGTTGGTGATACTGTCCAACAGACCAAACATAAGTTTAAAATTATTTTAAACTACAGCAAAATGTGAAGAAATTTTCATTATCTAGACCTGCAAACACTGACAGGCAAAGCCCAGTTAAACTTCACATTGTTCTTGCTTGCCCAGTGCTTCAGCCTGTCCAGGTCTCTTTCCAAGATAGCTCTCTCCTGATCTGTCTACCTCACCATCCAGTTTAGCATCATCAGCAACACTGATAAATTCACAACAGAGAACTATCTCATTCTACTGCTTTTGCTCTTATTTTTCTTGTAGTTTCCATCATGTATGGAAAAACACAGCTTTTAACAAGTGAGTTCAGAGTCTAGGACAGAAGAGACCTTCAAAGATTAGGTTGTTCCAACTCCTCGGACACGGGTAAGGACATATTTCACTAGATCACATTGCTCAAAGCTCCATCCAACCTGGCCTTGAACATTTCCAGGGATGAGGCAGCTACAGCTTCTCTGGGCAACCTGTTTCAGTGTCTCATCACCCTCACAGTAAAGAATTTCTTCCTTATGTTCCATCTATATCTACCCTCTTTCAGTTTAAAACCATTACGCCACGTCCTGTCACTACAGACCTTGGTAAAAAGCATCTTCCCATTTTTCTTATAAGCATATTTTAAGTACTAGAAGGCTGCAATAAGGTCTCCACGAAGCCTTCTCTTCTCCAGGCTGAACAACCACAACTCTCAACATGTCTTCACAGGAGAGGTACTCCAGTTCTCTGATCATCTTTACGACCCTCCTCAGACATGCTCTATTAGGTCCATGTCTGCCTTGTGCTAGGGGCCACAGAGGTGGATGAAAGTGCTCCAGGTGGATGTTTCACAAGAGCAGAGTATAGCTGGAGGATTCATATCCCTCGACATGGTGGTCATACTACTTCTTACACAGCCCAGGATATGACTGGGTTTTTGTGTGCTGCAAGCACACATTGTTGGCTCACATCCAACTTTTTGATTGACTGGTATCTCCAAGTCCTTCTTGGCAAGGCTGTTCTCAATCCATTCAGCCCCCAGTCTGTATTGATACTGGGGATTGCTCTGACCCAAGAGCGGAACCTTGCAGTTGGCCTTATTGAAGTTCATGCTGGCCCACTTCTGAACCCTGTGAAGGTCCCTGTGGATGGCATCCATTCCCTCAAGTGTCTATCAACTGCACCACTCAGCTTGGTGTTTTCTGCAAACTTGCTGAGCTTGCACTCAATCCCACTACGTCATTAATAAAGATATTGAACGGTACCAGTACCAATACAGACCTGTGAGGCACACCATGTGTTACTGATCTCTATTTGGACATTGAGCTGTTGACTGCAAGTCTTTGAATGTGGTCATCCAGCCAACTTCTTACTCATTTAACAGTTCATCTGTCAAACCCGTATCTCTCCAATTTTGCCACAAGGATGTTGTATGGGACTATCAAAGGCCTTACAGAACTCAAGACAGACGACATCAGTTGCTCGTCCCTTATCCACCAATGATTTGCCCTTGGTGAAGCCATGTAGCCATGTTTGCTGTCTCTAATCACCTCCCTGTCAACCATATGCTTAGATATAGCTTTCAGGAGGATGTGTTGCATGACCTTACTGGGCACTGAGGTGAGGTTGAGTGGTTCATAGTTCCCACAGTACTCCTTTTTAAAAATGAGTGTGATGTTTCCCTTTTTTTTTTCCAGCTACTGGAAATTTTGCCTGACTGTCAGGTCTTTTCAAATATCACTGAGAATGGCTTGCTGACTACATCTGACAGTTCTAGACCCTGGGAAGCATCTCATGGGGTCCCATGGACTTGTACATTTAGGTTCCTCAGATGGTCTTGAACCTGATCTTCTCTGCTGATGAATGGGAATATCCTTCCCCCAGTCCCTGCCTTTAGATTCAGGGACTCAAGAATTGTGGGAGGAGCAATCAAAAGTGAAAACACAAAATTGTTTAGGCAAAAAATTGTTTAGTGCTTCAGTTTTCTCCATGCCAGTTGCCACTAGACCCCTCCACCCCACATTTCATTTATTGAGGGTACAATTTCTTTTGTCATCATTTTTTAATGTCTCTGTAGAAATCCTTATCATTCTTTTCACATTCCTTGTCAAATCTAGCTCTACCTGTGCCTTAGCTTTTCTGATCCCATTCCTACATTTCCAGGCAGTATCCCTGCATTATTCCCAGTATTCATGTCTCTGCTTCCACTGTCTACGCATTTCCCTCTTGTGTTTTAGTTTGACCAGGAGGTCTTTACTCAGACATACTAGTCTTCCTTGCCTGATTTCTTGCACATGAAAATCAACAGTTCCTGTGCTCAAAGAGAAAAAAAGTCTTTAAATAGCTGCTCTCTCTCTTCTACTCCTTTATCCCCAAGGGCTGTTTCCCAGCGTGTCCCATCCACCCCGCCCTTAAGCAATTGAAAGTTCGCTTTCCTAAGGTTTAGAGTCCTGACTATACTTTTCACCTAGCCTATATTCATTGAGATCATGAATTCCACCAGGCTGTGATCAGTACAAATCAGGCTACTACCCATCTAGACCCTTCCAGTAGGTTCCTCTGTGCTGGTTAGCAACAGGTCCACTAATGGCTGCTGGCAAGAACAAAGCACAGATCTCAACAGAATGCTTTGGGTGGTCTAATATAGCAATTCCTGTGCACAGGGATACACACACATCATTGATCAAACTATCAGTGCACTTTGAGCACAGTACCCCCAAACCTGAACCAAAACAGCGTCTTCATTGCAGCAGGGAACAAATGAAGCGCAGAAAGAGGAAAGGGGAAAAAGGAGACTGGTCCTTAAAAATATATTTGCTATTTATAGATGTCAATATTGTTTTAAAACAGAAATCACAGTGGGAATGGTATCATGCTTGAGTCTTGATAGTTGCATTTTTTTCTGCACAATTTTGAACCTGCGGTACCTAAGAAGTACATACCTAAAAAGTAATCATAGCCACAGACAGAATTTTCACAGAAGCCATAAACAGAAATTATTTTTTTCAATAAAACAATACAAAATGCTGGTTACATATTTAATACACCAGTTAGATAAAAACTAATTAAAGTAGCATCTTTTAAAATGAATACTTGCTCTTGTTGGTAAGTTAAGCCCTGTAGAACCCCCGATGGGAGGGCACACAAAATTCTACTGTAGCTCATAGAAAAACTGTTCACCAAATTCAAACACAAAGTTTCTTTTGTTTAGTATAGGAGACAAAAACCTGATAACACAAATGCTCCCTGTCTGGATGACATCCACAAGATTATTCAGGCTACAGTTATTTTACTTCTAAAATATTCAAACTTCTTTAAGAAGTATTTGAGGAGATACTTTTATAAATCTGGATTATTACATGGTCACTTTAATTCATTTTTAAAAGAAAAATTTGCATGAGGAACATAGTTTTTTTTACAGGTAAGACTTTTTTTTCACCAGCTATAACTAAAAGTTAAAAGTTAAACTAAATTTAACTCTTAGTTATAACCACATTATATTCATATGAACACCATTTAAAGACGATTATCTTGGCAGCTACTTACGCAGAGGATTTTGCCCTTCGCTGGCATAGTACTCGTACATGCCACTTTTGACAAGTGTATCATAATGGGGCAGGAAGTCAATTCGTTCCTTGGTTGCCAAAAGCAACATTTGATCAACTGACTGCAGCAGATATAAAGTGACTCCATCTTGAACAAGTTCGCCTGCAATGAAAATGAAATACAAGGCTATATTGAAGAGCACTACAAATTCTGCTCTCAAAACCAGTACCGGCTTGCCCTCAGGTAATCTCTAATCTTAAGCATTGCCTGCTCAGCATTTAGCAACAACATTTAATTTAATATCTTTTCACGTTTCCAAGCTTAATAATGCAGGTTTTCTCAGGTGATAGCTACATACATGCCATTTTTCCCTATCATTTACAGAATTTGTAATGGACAGTAAAAAAATTACTTAGCATAACTGTCCATCATACTAGCAAGTAGTTGTCGAAAACCTGCTTGTGAAAGTCACCTTTGTAACAATTCTTGGCAAACTATTACAGGACTTGTACTTTCAGTTCACTATTGCATTATTTCGTGTCATAGAGCATTAACAATCATCATGTGATCTTGACAATCAATATAAGAAATAGCTGTAATTATTTTGCCATCTAAGATACTTACTGAAGTTGTCTTCTGTAATTTCCTTCCTATTTGTTGTGGTGATAACAAACTTTTCATCAGTAGCTATGCCAAATGCCTATAAAAATTGGAGGGTATTCAGTTATGACAACTAAGTACTCCAAAAAGATTCAGAGAAATTAAAACAAATAATAAAAAAAGGTGGTCTATTTACTTTGTCACAAACTACTGAGAAGTGATCAAATACTTTTCCTGTACTAACTCCTAGAACACAGTTCAAATCCAGAACTTAACTTCATTTGCCTTCTCAGCTTAGCCAAATCTGTCTGTACTAGAGCTGTTTGTTTTTTCACCTGCTTAAAATATGCTCTAGTGAGCAATAGCAATTGTCAGAAGGAGGAAATGTCTTACAGGTAATCACTTTGGGGGCTGAAGAACAAGAATGAACAGCTCTACTTCAGGCTGCACCTACAACAGCAGTAGATATGACCTAGAGGGTGTCCCATATTTAACTGCACTGTTTTGAGATACTAAACCAATCTAGTATTTCTTAACATTGGATACATATTAAATCTTTGTTCTTCAATTATATCATACATTTAAAAAAATAATAGATTTCTTTCAGAAAAATTCTTTACCACTAAAACACTGAAGTTTATTCTTCTGAACCTAAACAATCTTTGCCGCTTTGATGCCTCCAAATTTTGAATATGTTACTGCAGCTTTTGACTTTTTATCCTGCTTTCTACATGCATTTAAATGCCTCTGCGTTTGCCCCTATTTTTGCACCCTGATGTTCAACATTAATCTCTTTCTCAAAATAATAACCTAAATATCTGTATTTTCTCCTGTCTTTCCAAGCCTTTGAAACTCAAGAAAAAGTCAGATCTAGTCTCATTAAACCCATTCAGTCCTACAGTCACAGCTCAGACAGGTGTTTTATGCACTTTTAGATATTCTTCCCTGAAACTCTGGCATTCTCTGCAGCAGTTTGCCCTCATCATTTCCCATACCTCTTTCTTTCCATCCCTAGTACTCTGACTCATGAAAATACTTTTAAAACACTGTTTGAGGTTCCTTTAGAAGCCTGCTTTTCATACTTCAGTTACTCTTTCCCCAACGGTGACCATGTTAAAAATATATTTATTATCCATCAGCAAAATTAGCAAAATTGTCAAATTTATCATAGCACTTGGTGCAAGTGAAACAGAGATGATACAAAGAGACTGATGTTCAGACTAAAGAACCTGGAGTAATCACACTTTTTAACTCTTCTACATTCAGATCACTTGAAGTCAACCTCTCACATTACACAAATTTCCACATGAAAAATCTGCGTAGGAAAAAATATTAAATTGCTCAGAGCAAGGAAAGTAAGGAACAAAGGATATGGATACTAGAAAACTAACATTCTACTGTGCCATTCGAGGTCAGTGGTTAATATAGAATAACTGTAGAGTTTTACATTGAAAGCACAGATAAGCATCAACTGTCCTGAGCCAGTCATGACCAGTGCCAGATGGCTCTCAAACTACACATCCAAATTTCAACCAGAAGGGCACATGATGCTCCTGCTCAAACTTATCGGGGTAGAAACAGAAGAGACAAATGAGAAAGAATAGAGGAGATGCAGAGGACACATTGCTAGGGACCTCCATGTTCTCCACACCAGAGCAGGGATGGCCCCGAAGGCAGTGAGGCCCATGGAGGACCCATGTCAGGACAGGCAATTTCCCTTCTCTGTCTTCCTACTCTCACAAGGCTGTGGCCTATGGACAACCTTCCATAGTGGAAAAAAAAACAGTAAAAAGCATGGAGGAGGAGAAGAAGCAGAATAAAGCCCTGTAAATGGCCCTGACCTCTCACATCACCTGTTGCATCACCAAAGGAATTAGGATTGACCAAGCATTGTGTATTGGGAAAACAAGGGTAGCTTAGACTAGGAAGGGGGGGAAAAAAAGGTTTATGACAGAAGATGAGCTTGGAGAAGAAGGAAGAGCATTTACCTAAGTGTTTAATTGCCCCCTCAATCAATAAGCAAAAAATTGTGTTAATTGGCAGTAAGTCAAATTAAGAAAAAAAAATCCCTGAGTCAAGCCTGTTTTACACATGGCAGGATACCAGTCCTTACACCCATGGAATGGTACCTAAGGGAAAAAAGCTGTCTTTGTACAAACAAAAGAAATGCACTCTTTATAAGCTTGGAGGTTCAGTCTGGAGTGTCATCTATGCTTCATGCTAAATAAATAAAGCTAATAGCTCTCAATTTGTTGGTAGCTATTTATGACATGAGATTAGTATACTGCTAAAAAAGTTTGAGACAGCCACATGAATGCCCCATGCCCAACAAGCCCTCAGCAGAACAATTTACAGGTAAGATACATGAAAGTGTGAGTGAACTGTGATCTCTCTAACCCTTTAATCTGAATCAAGAAGCAAGGTTCAATTTATGTACTTCCTTCAGTCACAGGTTTTCTTTACAAACTAAAAAGAAAACCAAACTCAAAACAAAACACAAGCCCACAAATCACAAATAACTCCTCAGCAGCAAAGCCTCCTTCAAATAGACCTCCATTTCTTTTCTCTTCCACATATTAGTACATAAGCACAAAACCAACTTTTGTTGCTACTTTATTTGCACCTGCACAGCAAGGTTTACCTGGCTACTAAGCCAACTAAAACACTTAACATGAAGTTAACATAGATTTCACCTCTAGATTTACTATCTGCCTTGGAAAAGGTGTTCAACAAGCAAATATTTAGCTTTGTGTGTATCGCCACAGTTTGCAGGTACATGAACAGGCTTGCAGTGGTAAGTGAAGGAGAAATAACATGCTGTAAACACAGAATCATTGGTCTGCTTCTTCTGGTCCTACAGTCTATTACCATAGGATAATAATTTCTGGTGGTGACTTTTCAAACTGAAGGAATGGAACACTCCATTAAGACAGAGGTCAAACAGTGAAATCAAAACTACAGTATCTTTATAGAAGACATTTAACCCCTCGCAATCCAACCTTTTCCAAAACAAAGTTGTTTCCTACAATAAGCAACTTCTGCACCCTTAAAATGCTGTCTCCTTCTACAGTAACCGACCTAAGCAGGCAGATACGTAGGAATGATGTGAAGAACTGATCCCAGAGCTTGATGATGTAGCCAAAGGATAACAGAAACTTAACAGCCACAGTTATCTTCCTCCAAGAGGCATCTAGCCCAGAAGTATTTTTCTGGCTAAGAGAACTGTACTGCCAACACAAAACTCCTAAAGGGGACCTGAATTGTATCAGTTAAATGTAAAGAAATCTCGCAATGTCATTTTCAATGCTGTCCTTCATAGACAGTTACTTAGCTACCCAACATTACAAAAAACCAATACAGCTTTTTCAGTATTTCACATTGATCAAGCAGCTCCTTTGTAGAAACTTGTTCTGGAATCTGGAAAAATGAAGCCAATTCAAACTCCGAGAGGCCTGTAGCCTTATGTAACTTTGCACAGGATTAACTAAATATCCCACACTATTTGCCAGGTTGCCATCTGAACAACACACATTTATCAGTTAGCTATCCCACTTTATGCCACATCAAAAAGAGCTACCAGTCCAAATTGAGAGATTTTATATAGCAACAAATGGATGAAATGGTAGTACGCATTTACAGAAGAGGATTTCACTCTCAAATCACAGACTTTCAAACCAAGAACTGTCTTTCAGTAATGCTTATGGACACTGAGATATTTGCATCATCTCTCAATTATTCATACAACCAGATACATTAAGGTAATTAATAAATACAAAATTATTCAAATTACAAATACAAAAACTAAGATATAAAAAGATTAAGTGGAGACAAAGACCTTGTTGGAAGTCAGTTGGAACAACTGTACTGAACTCTTAAGCATGCTAATCAAATAAACTTTTCCAGTCCACTCTTAGGTCAATTAGACACTCTGCTGAGAATCTGTTATCAAGGATCTGGGGCTAAGCACTCATGGTAGCAAGGCAAGTATGATAACAATCATCTCTAATCATAACATGATTGATCTTCCCAAATATCTGAACACAAACTTAATATATAACATCTTTGGACACCAACAAAAAGGGGATCCAAAAGTCTCTAAAAAAGCAGTTGAAATAAAAAAAAAAAAAAGACAGAAATTATTTCTAAGCATTTCATGGAGCTCAAAACAAAGAGTTGTGTGTTACAGAAACAGAAGAACACACAGAAGTCAGTATCTTCTGGGCAGATGGTCACTAGAGACAACCTACAGACAAAAACTAGCAGTGAACACTAATGTTCTATAATATTTTTCAACCATCCTTTATTGACAGAGCCATCTCCATCTAAAGATCAAATTACAGCATTTGCAGAACTCGAGGGGCCTTGTCCTCTGTCCTACTTAAAAGTTTCACTACTATAAGAAGCTCCATTGATATGCTTCTAAATATTTACAAAAAGTAATCAATGAAAGATGTTAAGAAGTGAACAGATAGTTCAAAAGAAACACTTAGGAACATTGCTATGTAATAGATCCAGTAATATAATAAAATTTTATGAGGTATCTTAAAGCTTTACCATATTTTTTTTTTGAAAACCAGAGAGAAAAAGGAGGGAAATTGCATGACAGTAGACAACTGCAGAAGCCGCAAGCATATATCTATAAAATTTTGTCCAGAACAGTTGTTAACTCAGACATCTTTTCAAGATTTGCAGCATATAACCAGCAGAAAGAAGCCTGGGACCCCAGAATGTCTGCAAAGAGCTGTGCTGTCATTACTAGACTTAGAATAAGTCTAGACAACCATAGTAACTTACATGAGACCTTCACAAACTGTTGTGTCTAAAAGCACAATCAGAAATGTTCATGAGCATAGCTATCAGTCAAAATTTTGACATCAACTCAGTGTAAGCTTCCACCACCAAAATACTTCGTATGGCACCACTTGTTAAAGTAACAAGAATTCAGAATTTTGTTCTTCAAAAGCAAAAAGTACTCAGTCGCATCTAAAAGCTGCACTCCTAAAGAGTGCAGATATTCTGCATCTGACTGTATTGCCAACACTCAAATTTGACCAAGAACTTAAAGGTCACGCAGCTTTCCAAATCAATCACCACACCATA